TATTAAAAGGCAAAATTGTGAAACATTTTCAAACAAAAAGTGCTTCTGGATCTCAGCAATTTTTGAAAATTGCATACCTTCATGCAATGAGAAACTAGAGGCCAAATTAACAATTTTTGGTGAGTAATGGATTTTGTATTGGGGGAGCATTTACTAGAAACTGAGAAAAATAAAACTTCCAAAATACTTCTTGTCTCTTCGGAATGACCTCGCAATAAGTAAATAGTTTTTGCACAATCGAACAACACTCATTCTGCATTAGGGAACGACACGTAGACCCCTAATTGCTGAACTGATGATTCAAAATGTCCATATTGTGATAGGATATCAGGGATGACTATATTAATTGGCCAGAAGGCATTACTCAAGCAATAATAATTACCATTGACTTGATCCTGAGTGAAGTCTTGGGTGAACCCAAGATCAAGATCAAACATAAGTTGATCATTGTCGACTCCTTCCTTTCCAGCTGCGACGGATGGAGCCTGCGTTGCCGCTCCTGAGTGGATTCCCGAGTCTACCATGTAGGAATTTTGCGTCTGCTCTTCCTTGGTTGGTTGGCTCGGAAACACTGCAAATAACATGAACTTATTACATGCACTTTCCCTTATCAGATGTGGTTCTATATGTGTGGCTTTTATTTGCTGTTATTCTTTTGGAGCTATTTTGTTGATTTGAGGTGATCTATCACAGTGTAAGGTTGTGGTCCAACTGACATACTATACATTACAAAGATTAGATCAGATGTTGTAGATAATTTTTTAGACTCATTCTCAGAAGTAAGCATTTTTTTTTAGTTTGAAGTTAAAAAGCGTGCCAGATTTCGTACCTTAGACTTTTAAACATGTATTTGTCAAGATTTATGAGACATCCCTTGTACTTCTATTGCTCTGATTAGAATAATTAATCTAACTTATGACATCATCAATGCATCAAATAAGACATCGAAGGTATCGTTAACAAAATGCATCTTCAAAAACGTTCAAGTGTTTCAGATGGTGAAAAACCATAATGACCAGCAAATATCTCTGAAAAAATCACTCGACTAAATTCTGGCTTCTGATTGAGTGTACATCATGCCTAGACAATGTAATTCGATTCTCTTACAATTCTTATTCATGGTAGTTGCTTGACAAATGGGCCTGTTGCAAGCTTTCGCTGAGTAGAGCAAAAATAAAAGTTTTTCCTATACATAATGCCTCAAAAATCACGATGAACGCATCGACAAAGTCTGAAATGCACTCATAACTTCACAATCTGCGTAAGAAATTTGCGGTTTTTTTAGCTTCCCTCTTGGAAACGACTCTTCTGACGAAATGATTACCTGTGCTGTAAGTATCTTTTCTGAAGCAGGAAGCTTGAAAAAATTAAAATTTTTTGCGCAGATTGTGAAGTTATGAGTGCATTTCAGACTTTGCCAATGCGCTCATTGTGATTTTTGAGGCATTATCTATAAGAAGCAACTCTTAGTTTTGCTCCAGCAAAAGTTTGCAACAGGCCCATTAATTTGAGTTTTCATAAAAATACTCTGAGTTTTTTATTGGATTTTCTGCCAAATTAAAATTTCATTGCTTTTCCCTAAAAGCCTTGATGAAAACTACAGGAGAAAACAGTAGTAACGAAACATTTTGGAGATTACCTTCTTGATTGAACTCATGATCTAAGTCGAACATGAGTTGGTCTGTGTCCATCTCTTTACCAGCAATGACCGAGGAAGCTTGAGTTGTTGTTCCTGAATGGATCCCAGATTCAACATTCAGGTAGGTGTTTTGCGCCCACATTAGGGTCTGCTCTTCTTTGACTGGGTCTCTACCAGCCTGATACACTAAAAATAAGTGGACAAAACGGTTAGTTAAGCTAAACACAAGGGTAAAATCTTTAACAGAGGTGAAAATGAGACAATTTTTGGAAAATGAAGCATTTGTAGAACATGTTTTCTTTAAAAATTATTTTTGCTCAATATTTTGGAAAAGAGGGGGAAATTACACATTTTCTTGGAAATCAGACATTTTGTCATAAAATTGGACAAACACCTTGAGGCAAAAACACAAAATTGGGGAAAACGGTAAGCGTTTTAGAACTTTATGTACTCTTCGTCTTTTAGAGGATAACGCAAGCATGTATACAGTACACATTTTTTTAATACATAGCAGTCAGGAGGACATGCTAAAATAAATCAGTGTTTTTCTTACATTTTTAAGATCGTTGCTATCTTCTGTCTCCCTTTTTTTAAAAAAACATTTAAATAATCTAAAAAGAATTTATCTGACTCTGTTTATAAAAACGTACTAAAAGTTTTTAAAAGGATTGTATTCTTCATTACAGAAGTGCAAACGTAAGTACCTAGATAAGTTAGCTTATGAAATTATGTACCTACCCCTTTGAGGATCAGAGTTGGGATATTGATGTAACTTTAATGACTTTCAGTGCAAGAAAAAAAAGGTAAATAAATCAAATAAAAATAAAAGTACATGTAGATTACTGTCTGCCTCCTGTGGCGTAGTGATTGAAGCGCTTGCTCTATGATCCGGAGGTCCAATGTTCGATCCCTGGCCAGGTGGACCAAGTTTAATCGTTTCAAACAACGATTGTTTTGGGGCAGACTTGATTGCGGATGGAAGGGGGATGGGACTTTAGGGACGGTAAAGCGCAAGATTATCTCTCATGAGATATTTGAAGTGTAAAAAAAAACAACAAAAATTATCCAAAAAACTATCATGATAGATTATTGCGAAATTTTGGAGAACTGTAATTTTTAAGAACGCCTTGGTGCTAATTCCATCAAAAATCAAGCGACCCTAAACTTCTCTGATGCTTGAAAACATAAGACTACCGCTAGAAGAAAAGGTGTCTGTGCTATTTCCGATCGATAGTAACAGTGAAAACCCAGGAAATTTTTCTGAAGAAACACCACAAAACAGCAAAATTAAATTTTTAATAAGTATGACTTGAGATTGAAAAAAATAAAACTTACTTGGCCGGTTCGGCATCATGGTGTTGAAGTGCGCTGGAACTGGAAACAGAAAAGTAAGTAATAAACTATGAGAACTATAAACGACATAAATTAACTACAATGAATTAATTTGGGGCTAAAATAGTAACATTTTTTAAGTACAGTGCATTGTAAATTGTTAACAATAAACACTGGTGTTTGAAGTTTGAACACCGCATCTTTCAGACCTATAGACGCTATTAGTGCAACGTCACAGAAAAGCGATATTTATCGATTTTTTCGCATTGGTAGCATTGAAAGAGGTTATGCCAATGTTATTGTTTGGATCCAATTCGATATAATGGAGAATCCCTATGATGACGTCGCCACTAATAGCGTCTATGTAGGAGGAAAATAAATAAATTTTCAAAGCTTGTACCTACTGAGAGGAAACAGATATTGGCATCCTGGGCAAATTTTACCAAGTTATGCAACAGAATCTACTTGGAAACCAATTTGATTTGGTGGAGGATTAGTTTTAAAGAAGTTTACTCCCTCCAAGCAAAGTACCCAGCTCACAGACCATGAACCTAACACACAGTTTCACAATCTATCTTGTGGTAATGGCATGTGAAGGAGTGCAAGTTATAAAAAAACAGAGGGACAACACTACAACAGCAGGCCGTCTAATGAGATTATGTGCTCGTCTGGTAGGTGAGTATAGACTGAAGTAGGGGAGATATAAGATTGCGACCTGTAACTACGACGCGAGTCCTTCATCGGACGAATAATTCATTGGCTGAAGGCACCTCCTTGCTAGCTGATAACTGATCAGATATTCAGTCTGATGAAGAACTTACAATGCAGTTACCAGTCATCTGTTAAACACAGCTGACCAACCTGATTGCTCCAGTCTACCTTAGTCTTATCTTGACTACCAGACATACACCTGATTTCAAAATGTAATTCACCTGCAGCCTACATTCACCTGTGTACTCTCATCATACTTTACTTGTGAACACTAAGATGTGTCTTAGAATCGCCTATCTAGGTTTGAGACACATACTAGAGATTATTTGAACAGAACCAGCTTAAGAAGTGCATCGACACGGAATGTTTCAAATGTTAAGACTGTCGTATTGAATTAAGTTGGATACCTACTCAGCACTTTTTGGCTGTAACCAGTTTACTGTTGGAACGGAGGCGATGGTTATGTATATATTGTCTCACGACCTAATCATGTAAGAGAGACCGCCGCGATTTCTGGTTTTAATGGTTTCAAGTGAAGATATTTAGAACTTTTGACTGGTAAAAGGCTGCGAGTCAAATGAGAATGGCAGACAAGTGGATGAGATCATAGAAATACATACATGAGATTCGGTTTTGGTTGAATTATTGGATTCTGTCCTCGACACTGACGAAAATCAAATAGAATCCACTTACAAGAAGTTCAGTACTTAATGGCACAAAGTATTTTACTCATCACATGGAATCTGGTTGAAATAGATTTTGTTGTTGTTGTTGTTGTTGTTGTTGTAGGTTGATTGGCCTAATTCCGCTTTGCAGATAAACAGCCACTTACAAAAGTTCGGGATCACAGTCACTAGATGATCATTTGGGAACACAACAAATAAAGCCAAAACGCAAACTATTTGGTTGAAAACCATAGAGAAAAAAAAGGAGGTGTTTGCATTTCGGGCATCTTGGAATTTTTTGATGACTTGATGACGTAGGTGGGTACAGTGTGAAGGGGACGTCCCTGTACCCAGCTGTACCCACCTACGTCATCAAGTCATCAAAATACTCCAAGATGCCCGAAATGCAAACACCTCCTTTTTTTTCTCTATGGTTGAAAACTGTAGAGAGGCAAAAACATCGCATTTCGTACCCTCTTGACGTCGTTTAGATCGAGAGGGGGGGAGGGGTACGCCCGACCTGCCGCGCGTTACGGTTTGATTGCATGGCAAAACCCGTACTCACTTGACGTCACAAATCTTCATGATAGCAGCCAAAATCGAAATGCGATCACCCTTTACTACAACTTTTTTAATCGCGGTTTATGGATTAATTTCAGGTTATGTTTACAATTTAGAGCTACTAAGATTTTTTTTTTTCGTTGGTCATGGACCAATCCTTGGTTGAATTAATTTTAATTAACGCACTCCAGCAGGCTGCTTTCAACCAGACATTCAGTAACCTATGACATTCTTTTTATGGTTCATTTATCATATGTTTGTGGTAAGTTAATTTCTACATTCCATGCAAGTTTCATGTTCAAGGAGCCTTATTTTATTGTTTCGACTGCATAAACTTCTTGATCATTGACTTGGTGTGCCTCCGGTCTAGCTATGTTTTATTCCTCATATTATGATCAGTAAATTTTTTCTTATTCACATGCCCATGACTGATCTCCTAGGTCAAATCCATTCACTGCAGCATTTAGTTCAAATCAACTGGAAACCTATTTCGCTTGTAAGTAAGCTTAAACTCCTACATTCTTGATCCGAAATTGGGTTTAATTTTCAGTCATTGATTCAGCAGTAATTTATAAGGAGCAGACACCACAAATTTAAAAGGAGCATCAGGAAACTTACCTGATGCCGCTCAGTTCCCTTGACTTCTAAACGTAACGTAACGTAATGGTCTGAACCACCTGTGAAGATCATTGATTATTGAATGAAATGATAGACATTCACCTGTAAAGATGCAAGGCATCTCTGAGTGGGTTAGGAATGATGCCTGCTGATGAGGAGATGAGGATACAATAACTACTTACTAGCTAACAGGCCCTAAATTGCAGTTTCCTCTGACACTGCCGGTCATGCTCGAATTTTTCGAAGCAGCACTTGAAAAGCTTGGGTTTCCATGTATGTAAATATCAGCTCAATAACCATTAAATAAATTATTTCTGTAATACTTGTACTCACATGAACTTGTGAATCATATATCAGCTGGTTTGTCTGCCAAATTGGTTTTAAAACATGTCAGAGGAAGTTATGTCTGCCAATATGAATTAATTTTATAATGTCCGACAGAACTTGACAAAAAAAAATAATTAAGAAGAACACAGGTCGCAGCATGAAAACACTCTCCGAAACCAAAGTCCATTGAAGAATTCCTCTCCTCTGATAATTGCATCAATTCCTGCTGAAAAACTTTTTGGTTATCCAAACCTACCTACGATCATTGGATAATGCGTATTCTCTGTGTTTCTAGGTTGTATCGAACTGATATGTAACTAAAGGCAGTGAAATGTATTATGATTCGGAACCTGCTGCCCCCCTTCACTTCCAGCATTTACACAACAGCTTGGATGTTGGTCCATTCCTCAACTATGTGGAAAATATTTTCAATGAACCAATCGAGTAAGTTCTGCAGGATTTTGCAGTGGAATCCAGTATATCGACGGTGAAAGTCGGCAATCACATAACTCGTTTGCGGTGTCTGAAAATCTCCGCCTCTACGTCATTTTTTTAAAGGAGAACAAATTGATATTATTTCTTGAAGTTTTTGCAGAATTTTCTACGCATTGAGAAGAAAAATCATGACAGTTTTAAAGAATTGCCGTTGAGTAGTTTTCCATTTAAAAAATAAAGTATGACAGGAAGTCTGCGACGTCGCAAACCGAGTTATGTGATTGCCGACTTTCACCGTCGATATGTTAAGTACATAATTGTAGGTTAGTGAAAGTAGAGGTTTAAGAAGTGATCCCTTTGAGGAGAGCAAGCTGTATCCCATCTAGAAGCAAGAAATTAAGGAACGAGAATTGAGGAAAGCATTTTGCAGAACAGGGAAAAGATGGTGGAAAGCTTTCCCTTTTTGCTTTAGTTCTTACATTTTTCTCTTCTTTCTTCTCTTAAGATTTTGCCAAATTCCAGTAGATACCTTTTTTTCTTTGCCTATTTTTTTAGAGTTAAAAAAAAAAAAAAAAAAAATTGGAGGGAAAAAATTTCCTGCATCCGGCTGGTATTTCAAATCTTCAACTGAAGACCTTAAATCAATAACGGTCTAAGTGCCAAAAGGTCAAGTTTCAGTTATTCAACATTTATTTCCCACAGATGGCTCGGCACATACCATGTAGTACTACCTATTGGGCACTCTGCACTCCTCTGTCGTAGCACTCAGTCCGCTTCACGGGTTGCTGTCCATGGTACAGACCGCTATTTGAGGTCTAACGCGATTTTCATTTTTTTCGTACTTAGCCCGTTATTGATTTAAGGTCGAGAGTTTTTCTTGTTGAGTTTTCTTACACTGAGATCTCTTCAATTTTACAGAAAAAGTTTTCAGAGTAATGCAAAGATGAGATTTATAAAAAGAGTACCGATCACAAAATCTCTCTCAAATCTCAAATGCAGCTGCATTCAGTACTCCGTTGAAGAGAATCATCAATGTAAGATGTTGGCATAAAAATTGAACTTTAACAAAGGAACTTCACCCTGAAACTTGTCTCTTCAACCGAAAACTGAGGTTGATGATATTATTTTAGGTGATACTAATGATTCTCAGTTGAAAGCAAGCTTAGTGCCTTTGCTCCAATCTCACGATCTGAGTCGAGGAAAAAGAGTCTCTTCAAAAGAGAAAAAATTTTGATTGATTTTATTTTGATGACTTTACAGTAGTGATGGAGACTCAAGCGATTCTGAAGTGGACAGAAAAGCGATCGAAATGGAAGTCCTTCATGGCGCTAGGAATGGCAATTTTTACCCAAAATCAGGTTTGACTACACTTTTTTACTCCTCAGTCTAAAGAATATTAAGTAAAGGACCCCGCATACCTCTTATGGGAAAGTGCACCGCGATGAATTTTTAAATTTTTTATTGCATTCGATTCTCCTCAAGATGCTGATCAAAAGTTATCATTGCGCCAACTTTCTGTGATGCACCGTTTACGCATAAAACACCCGAAAAGATTCAATTATTCGGCGATGAAGAATCAAAAAGAACAAAGCATCCGAGGACAGGCCTGATGTAAATTATTAAGAACGTAGCGCGTGTCTGTCTTCGTATCTGTTCCCGCCAACTCTGGGGCTATCTCCCTCCCGCTCTCGTCCGGTTAAGGTGCACTGTTTTTCTCCGACTTTCCTGTTCTTATGCTCCTCAAGAATCCGATTTGGATGGGCGAGCAAAACGGCCTGTGGAATCCAAGATGAGACTGCCGCTCGGTGCTGGAGTTCCTCTGATTTCCTTGTTGACACATAGCCAATCATTCACTCGAGTGCTGGAATGAGGAATCCATCTGACTCTTTATTGCCGAATAATTGAATATTCTCGGGCGTTTTTTGCAAAAACAGTGCATCACAGAAAGTTGGCGCAATGAAAATTTTTGATCAGCATCTTGAGGAGAATCGAATGCAATAAAAAAATTAAAAATCCATCGTGGTGCACTTTCCCACAAGAGGTGTGCCGGGTCTTTTGCAATCAAGCCTAAATTGTGTCTATTGTTTTCACACATAAAGAGAAGGGACGATTTTATAATCCTATTACTGTGCAAATGGCCCATAAATAAAAAATAAATAAGAATAAGATATCAGAGATAATAGAAAGGAAAAATACCGCCTATCTGCAAAGTGAAGATTTTACCTTCGCCTCACTTGTTTACTCGACCCTAAAAGCCTCCTTTTTCTCACCTGTAAACTCAATGATTACCTTGTGGTTTGTTTGCAGAGAAGCGCAGTGACAAGTTACGACTGTATAATTTAGCAAATGTTGACGAAGAACGGAGTTGGATACGATCGGTGCTATTATCTGATTCTTCAGATTCGGATTCAGACACCCCAATTACAAAAGAGGACTTGCAGGAGATGTTGAAGATGCATGTATACAAGAAAAAACTTTTGGCTCAACGCAAGAAAAATCCAAAAGTAAACAAATATTTTCCCCTTATTTAATCTTTCAAGACTACCTACTTACCATCCAAGATCTCTGTTTGTGCTGCCAATCAAACACTCTCTTTTATTACACTTTAAAATTGTCTGGCAAGTTGACGAGCGGGCTTTTGAAGCTGTTGAAAGGTTTTTCTGAGAGGTTTTCTCTGAGCAATATATGAATGAATCATTGAGTAATTTAGCACTGCCATGCTAAGACTAATCATCATATCTATGGCTAAATGTAAATCAAGCGTGTGTCGATTGCAACATTTATATGTACCAGTTATGTTTCATTTTCTTCAAAAGTTAAAATGTTTCACTCCAATCTTGGGTGATTTTTGTCAGAAAGAATAAAAAAAATCATAGAAGATTTCAAAAGAAACTGATGGTTAGTTTTCCTTCAAAAAAATAAAACGTGCCAAGTGGACTTAATAGTGTGGCAATCTGAATTACATATTTTAAATTACAGCCAATAATATTAACATTAAAGTGAAGCTAACTTCCCCTTTTTTTCCCTCAATGAAATATTTTTATTTAGGAAAAGCTAAATATATTTTTTCTTGGTGCTTATATGCTATGCTTAGATCAAGATCATTCGAGAAGAAAACTTAACGATTTTTGCAAATGATTCCTATTTTATGAGAAGAAATTTGTGAACCATAGAATGTCAGAGTAGGTGTAATGACTGTTCGCTCTAAGAAGAAAGTCTTTTGTATTAAAATTATTTATTTCCACAATATATAAAATCAGATATCTGAAATGGAAAACCCTCAAACTAAGATCTGTGTTCAAGTTGTTGTACCAGGAGATTTTATTGTGCAATCAGAAGTTCATGGAAAGTGCATGCACTCAAAGTCATTTCCTCAATGATGAGAGCTCACAGTATGAAATACATATAAACTTTATAATGGGCTATCCTTAGCATTCCAGTCAGTTCTCAAAGCATGGGTCTTTGTCCCACAACTTTTTTTATATGTTTATATATCATTTGTTTCTTCATTTTGAAATGTTTCATTTCAGCGGCTACGTTACCAATACTATAGCACTGGTTTTCTGGCTAATCATGATAAATTTCCAGCTCGCCAGTCAGAATTTCCCAGTGGGAAAAAGCAGCGAAAAAGAATGAGCTTCAAAAAAGACAAAGCAAATAAATCAGAAGGCAATGAGAAACAAGAAACAGCTCACGTAAGTTCAGCAAGTTGATTTCTATGCGTATAATTTTGTTTCCTCTCTGACATTACTTGCTGCAGAACTACAAGTAACTTCCATATTCTCAGGAAAAGATCATGCTTCCACCAGTTTCTTGCTGTTTTCGTTTTGCATGCTTCTAAAAATTAGCTCTGAAGTGCTATATTGCTATTTTATTGCTTTTTTTTTGGTCTATGAAGGACAAATTAATTATTTTGTAGTAGGATTTTACCAAGTAACTCTCCTGCAAGAATCAAATCATTTGAAAGCACTTGTTTTTGTGACAATGGTTTTGCTTTTGTATTTAAACAAAGAGTGATAATATTATTTCCTGACACCAAATAAGCTTTTAGCATGTGTTTGTAAGTATACAGACATATTTCCGGAATAACTTAATTTTAACACAGTTTTTGTCTAGCTGTGGTTAAAATTTGCAAATCTCAACCGACAAAACGGCGCAATAAAAAAAATTCAATATATTAATTTTTCTGCTCAAAAAGTATCTAAAAATTTAAAAAATTGAACAAAAAACTCCTTGAAGACTAGATTTTTAGTGTATTTTTTATCTTTTTACAACTCTCTACACTTTTCATTTCAGTTGTTTTTCTTATTTTAATTTTCCTGTTAATTGTACGGAGAAACTGAAGCTTTCCATTTTTCTGTTCTGTCACTATGTATTTATGTACCAATTCTAAAACATTGCTGTGTAGGAGGCAAAGATGAGGGAAAAGCGAAAAGATGCAAAAACCAAGAAGGCACTTGCTGCTGCAGCAAAACAGTCAAGATTATCGAAGAAGAAGGCACTTTTAGCAGCCAAGACAGCAGAAGCAATGAATATCAAGAGAAGAAAAATCTGGGCGCAAATGGCTAAAAAAGAGATTGGCAAGGTAAGATACCTAATAACTCTCGTCTCTACTTTTTGGGTGAAATTAAGGAAATCTTGAGTAAATAGCTGTTTTTTCCTCTTTATTCATCCGCTGTCATGAATAATGATATTTACTCGACTGAACTCCTACTTTTTTTATACTTTAATGACTGATGAGGTTTTTTGAAAAAGAATGGAGAGATAAGCTCAGACTGATGACTTTAAGACAGTAGAGGAACTTTAAATTAAACAAATGTAACTGCATTTTCCCCTATCAAAATTCAAATACCGAGTATGAGTTTTCTTTTAAGGTTTTTGAATGCGTACTTTTTGAATGAAAGTTATCCATTAATTTTGAAATAAGAAAATTTTTTTGTATAAACTATCAGCTTAATAATGTCATGAGCCTTAATCAATTCTCTGTTATGACATTCGTTATGACATAATGTTTGCCCTCAGAAATCTATCTTTTAATTTTAACAAGACACTTTCTACGCATTTAGGATTTATTCAAATATTTTTAATCTAAAATATTATTGAAAAGTCACTGGAATGTTTCACTAAACAAAGACACAGGAACAGACTTAAACCTGGGTTTAGTTTATCTTATTTTGACACAGGTCAAACATATCTAAAATCCTTTAGACCTTTTTATTAATATTTTTCCGATAAAACTGTTCGGTTTTTCTCTATCCACTGAACACTTTAAGAATGTATTGATATATATTATTATTTTATTCTTTGCGCTTTCTTTTCTTTCTTTAGGTCCAAAGAGCGCGTTTGAACAATCATAAAGAAATGCTGACAAGTTGCAGGAGAGTTGCACAGTACTGCATGAAGAATTGGCGGCAAAAAGCAATGCAAGTAAGTGAAAGCACAACTTCATTTTTTTTATTACATCAAGTCTTTAAGCCACTGTTACTTAAAAGTGAAAGAATATTTGTATATTCTGATCTAGTTTTCAATATTTACTAACAACACAAAAAATGCATTTATTATAAACAAATCTCTACTAGAAAAAAAAAATGTAAAAAATTTTAAGTAAGTGTTGCTATTTCTTCTGAAATAATGAATTTAAGGTACGTTGAAGTAATCTCAGTAAATCTAAGCTTCGAAATTCAAAGAAACTATTTGCATGTTTTTTGCTACAGACATGTTATAAAGTTGACCTCGGACAGAAGAGTGGTCGCAAGATGTTACTGATCTAAGTCATGAGGCAAAATAAAAATCTATCAATAATGATCCAAGGTCTTATGAAAAGAGGGAGTTTTTCCTTTTTTTCTTTTGTAACAACATTGTCATACTGACCAAATGTGATGGCGATTTATCCAATTCCAAGCGCTTTTCTGTCACCACAAGGTTTGAATGCCTTCTATTAACGAACGACCCATTATTTGCATGACAGTGGGCAATCAGCAGAAGATCCAAGTTTGGAAGATAATATTGAGCTTTGTTTCCCGATATGGAACCAAGTAACATTACCTGTTGCCGAATTTCATTGTGAAATTGATTTGTTTGTAAGAGAACAGTTTCACCAACTTGTTTGAAATTGTCAGAGAATTTTCTCTGTGGTCTGAAGAGAATTCCCTGTAATTTTCATGCAAATCAGTAAAATTATTCTCTCAGAAAAAATAACTACCATCCAATAAAATTTAGCAACAGCCATGTCTTTTTAGAGCAAACTTTGAGCGTCTAGATTTTTTTTATTCCGTCTCTGTGTTCATGAATTGTTCGTTGTCTAAAAAATACTACCTTTAATTTGAATTCATTATTTTGTTTGTCTTCTTTTCAGTCTCAGAAAAATATGAAAGAAATCATTTGGCGAACTAAACGTTTGACAAGAGAAATGCAAGCTTACTGGAAAAGGTACGATAGAGTGGAACGAGAAACAAGGAAGCGAATGGAAAAAGAGGCTGAAGAACAAAGGAAAATGGATGTAGAATTAATGGAGGTGGGTTGAAAATGCTTATTCCTCCTTTTGCCCCTCTTTTCCTTACATTTCATCAAAATTTAAAGAATCTGCTTCAACTTTTCAAGTCTGATTCAGTCAAAGCAAGAAATTAGGTGTGAAATCTTTTTGTTGGAAATAGAATATCAGCAATGAACATTGAACATGGAACGGCAGCTATTAAAAGTGAAAGTGCTCATGATGACATTATCTTAATATTTGAACATATGATAGTGTCTACATGACACAATATAAGTACAAGAGACAAGTTGTTGAAATAAAGGATAAGATCACCGCGACTCTGTTTGTATGGTTTATGCTTTGAAAATTGAAATTTATGTATGAGTTCATTCAATTACCATCAAACTAAAACAATTTTATCACAATCCTTCTCAAATAATCATCATCATTAACAGATAATAGTTCCCATACCTGCAGAAGAAGTAAAAAGAAGCATACTGATGTATTAAAAGTTTGTTGAAGATGAGGATATTTGGATTTTTGGATATCGCCATTCAGAACCACAATTCTTGACTCAGATTAGAAACAACGTTTGTACCATTAGTTTTCCTATGCCTTTCGGTGTTTTTACGGATGAGCTAAAAATTGTATTTCTTAATTGCAAAATCCAGTCCATTAATGTTAAGAAAATTCAGTAATGAAAATCAAAATTAATTTTTCTCTAGCTTCTTTTAGTTCATTTAATATTGAAATTTTACCGTTAATATAGTAAAATTATAATGTCTCTTGCAATTTTATTTGGCTTTTTCACAGGCTAAAAGGCAACAGAGGAAGTTGAACTTCTTAATCACTCAAACAGAGTTGTACGCCCACTTTATGTCCGGCAAGTTGGGTGCATCTTCAGACGAGCAACTTCGTATCCTGAGTCAGCTGGACGAGGAGAAAAATCCACGCTTAGCTGCATATGATGATTATGATAGGTACACAACACATACTTTGCACCAACTTTTCTTTTAATCTCCAGTGTTCAATGCGGGCCTTCATATTTAAATTGCCGATCCATGTTTTATTCTTTTGAGGAATAAATATGCATTTGTGAAGCAATAAATGAAGCTCAGCCTGCAGACAGTTTGTTCTATAGTGTTAAGTGACTGCTATGATATCGTTAAGGTGGTTCCATAGCTCTTAGGAGAATGATTCATCAGTAGATCAATCGATTGATAATTTCAGAATTTAGGACATTTTTTAAGAAAATTCCTCAATTTCAGAACTTGCCACAGTCCATCAGATTTTTGCACACAAGATTTAACAGAGCTACAGATTGGATACTGGGAATTATGAAAAATAAGTAACTCATCCAAAATTTAAATACACTCAACTTCTCCATGGAAAATTGTGAAGATTATTACTTGTGAATTGAAACATTAAAAAAATGTATAATTATGCCTTTTCTTACTTTATCTGTGAAAATTATGCCACAAAAATTTTCTGATCTGAGAATCTATCATGTGCTAATATTTACTGAAATCAACGGAATCATTCTTTAACCTAAGTAGTCAAGTATATAACTTGATCATATTTGTTTTTAAAATTTCTTGCATTAATTGAAGTTCTTATGTTTGATTATAGCGAAACCTTGAAGGCCAAAATCAAAGAGAATGTAGAAGGTGTTGTTAAAGCTGAAATGGAGAGGACAGCCCAGTTTGGACATGCACGTCCTGACCCAGAACTAGAAGAAGAAAGACCGCAGCCATCCCTGTTCAAAGGCACATTGAAAGGATACCAGTTGAAGGGAATGAATTGGATTGCTAATCTCTATGACCAGGTGAGCCCTCCTTTAGACTGCTAGAAAGTATAAGATTCAACACTGTTGAAATCTCTTCTTCCGGTACTATTCATAATAGTAAGACTATCTGAATAAACTGATATCAGTTATCTATTATTAATAGCAATCTTGAACTAATTAGTCCTGGTGTGAAATATTTTTTGTTTCTTTAATGCTGATTTTTGTTCTGTTTCAGGGTATTAATGGCATTCTTGCTGATGAGATGGGTCTAGGAAAAACCGTGCAGTCCATTGCCTTTCTATGTCACATAGCTGAAAAATACTGTAAGTTGACAGACTCCAGTTACGTCTATCTAAGGTTCTATTGCATCTCATGATAGGTTGTCTCATCAAACTAATTATGTATGTCTGTTACACTCAAAACTCCAATTTTATAATGATTTGCGGTGAGAGGCTATATTATTTTTTGAAAATGCGAAATGGTCAAAAAATGCAGCAAGTCATGAAAAATTTGACTGAAAAGTTAACAAGTTAAGTTTAGCAACTCTCAGCTGTGTGCCTTGTCTAGACCATTTTTTTGCATTGTTGCAACTATGAGGGTCATCCAAAAAGAAATGTCTCCTCTTGCATTTCTCACAAACTGTCAGATAATGAAGAATTCAATCATATGTACCGTTAGCCTTTCTGTAATCTCAGCTCTAAAATGACTCCATATTTTTCAAAATTTCACTGCTAAATCACTCAATTAGCGATATTTCTGGTGTTCTGGCAAATGATCGATTATTGATATCTCCCCATTTGAAGCTGCGGTAAAGAATCAATTATTAGGGTTTTTGTTGCGAACGCCCTGTATTTCGATCCTTTTCCATGGGTTTTAATGGCAGATCAATTGATAAATCGCAAAGCACGCCACGCCACGCCTTTGAATTGTAATCGAATTCAAAAATCCTTAATCGCACAGCTCTAGCTTTTAATCTTCTTTTCCTTTTTTCAGCTGTCTGGGGTCCATTTCTAATAATTTCCCCAGCATCAACATTACACAATTGGCAGCAGGAGATGTCACGCTTTGTACCTGATTTTAAAGTAGTTCCTTACTGGGGTAGTCCTCAAGTAAGTATATTTCAGCATCTCCATGTGTCTGACCTTTAAATTTCAATTATTATTCTCGTAAAATTTTGAATGTATGGCTTTTCATTTTTAATGTTTACAATTTTATAAAGGCAACCCGGACGACCGCCCAAGAGATGGGCACAGAGCTGCCTTTCATCCCCGGAGAATTAAGTGATCTCTCTCATCGCCATCACATTTTATTTATCATATTTATATACTAATTTAGAGGCTAGACAAACAGGGTCACGGCCCTAGTCATAAGTTAGAAGAAGAAGAAGAAGAAGAAGAAGAAGAAGAAGACAATTTCATTTTTTCATTTAGGTGATCTCCCAAGTTAGAGAGGTGTATTTAAGGAAGGTGATCATCATCACTTTCTAGTTTTGGATACCAAGTGGCAGTAGAAAAACAGCTTCATATTTCATCATTTAGTGAAGTAAAAATTAATTTTTAACCAACAGTTCAATGGTGGTGTGTAGATGTTAAGATATCAACTCTTTTTTTCTTCTCAATTGATTGTTTTTCAACACATTGCTTATTCCGTGTGTTTCTAAAGTTCATTTTTCTTGATAGCTGATAATACAAAATTTGCAACTAAATGCAGTGAAAGCAACAATTTGAAATTGCCTCTTAGAAGTCAATAACATTATTAATAGGATCATTTGGTCATTTCAACAAAAGTCATTTGTAATTTCTGATTCGATTTCCTGGTGATTTTTTACTCATGTATTTTCTTTCCAGGAGCGTAAAATCTTGCGTCAGTTTTGGGACAAGAAAGATCTACACACTCAGGAAGCAAGCTTCCATGTAGTCATAACTAGTTACCAGCTAGTCATCACCGATTTCAAGTATTTCAATCGAATTCAGTGGCAATATTTAATCTTAGATGAAGCTCAAGCAATTAAAAGCTCCAGCAGGTAAGAGAACAAAAGCATCTAAGATTTCAAAAACCCTATAACCATCTTATGTTTCTGAATGAGTGTGAAGTGTAATCTTATTTTGTGATCCTAACAATCATCTTACACTCGCCGAAAAGCTTGAACTACGAGTATTTCAATCTTCAATATTCTTCAGGAGATACTTCGGTTGGTTCTCTTTTGAAAAACTAAAGCATAATCGGAGATTTTTAATTGTTGGAATGAAGACACTTATTTCTGGACATTAGCCATTTATATATAAGGAGTTGTGAGGCATCTTTGGGAAATTTAGGCATCAGTCCCATTTTGTAAAACTAGCTGGAGGGTTCACTCCAAGAGAAAATCGATCACTAGAGGTCTTTTTCCATTATTATTGCTCCTTTGTGTCCAAAGCTCCGTCGCAGTTTTTCAACTTGAAACACTTTTCTTGAGATCTCAGAATCTCCTTCCGCTACAACACCCTTCAACTTTTAAAATATTCTACAATGAATCAATATCAATTTCAGTATGCGGTGGAAATTACTTCTGGAGTTCAGCTGTCGAAACCGGCTTCTTTTGAGTGGCACCCCAATCCAGAACAGTATGGCAGAATTGTGGGCACTCCTTCATTTCATCATGCCTACCATGTTTGACTCTCATGATGAATTCAATGAGTGGTTCTCAAAGGATATCGAAAGCCACGCAGAGAACAAAGCCAGCATAGATGAAAGTATGGAACATACTTCTTGAAATTTATATTTTGAAAAACTTATAAATATTTTTTCTTTTCTTCACTTGCAATTAGAGTGATACATAGATATGGAAGCATATGCCGATCGGTGATGGTCCTTGAAAGTCAGCAGTACTGTTTTTCCTTCTTTCTCGGCGAGGCAGCTTGTCTCACCTAAAATGGATATTTTCAATGGATTCAAACGGAGGAAAAACAAAGTTGCAAATTTGCATAATTGCCACCAGTGCCAATGGTGAAACTTGAGTGCAAATTGCATAGTCTCAGATTTTTATTAGTTACATTAATTATAATTCGAAAATAAAGCGATACTACAAAATGATTCTTCAAAGAATAATTATGTTAATCCAAGAAAAATCATTCCAAGTCTCATAAAACATTGGCGATTGGCTTTTTTTACACACATAAAATATATTAACCCGCAGGAAGTCAAAATTGCGAAAGAAGAGGCTTTTATTTTTGTTGTTACATTTTAGTATGCTATGTCCCATGCTGATTTTTCAAATTTTCAGTCAGCAGAGAAGTTGAACAAGAAAATGGCGTCTGAGATAATGTATTGCCACCTTTTTTCTGAAAAAAAAAAAAAAACAGCCCTGCTTTAAGACCTTTGTAGTTTTTTAATTTCGGACAAATTTTCTACCAAAATCAAAAATGATTCCGATTTTTGATCGTGTGGTACTGTAACTTTTTAATTTTTATCTTTTCTTTCTATAGAGCACTTATCCAGGCTGCATTTAATACTGAAACCTTTCATGTTGCGACGGATTAAGAAGGACGTCGAAAATGAGCTTTCTGACAAAATAGAGATTATGGTCCATTGTCCCTTAACAACAAGACAAAAAATGCTGTATCATGGTTTGTAAACTATTATCATACTTTCTTCATTCTGAAACTTACAGAAGAGTTTTGCATGCTCAGAATTAATAAAATGTCACATTTTAGTCGTAATGGGTTAGTTGCACTGGTCACAGAATCGTGTTTTGATGCTTGATTCTTGTAGATTAGCTAAAAATAATAAGATCTGTCCCAACCGCAACTTTCTATGTTCAATATTAACCGAGATATCGCCCTTTGAAAAGTCAGGTTTTTAACATCATCCACCACTGCTATGACACCCTTGATTCCTTCCTTTTTTGTTCAATCAGCAATGCAGAGGGTGCAAAGCGAAACTTCAACGACGTTAAATGCAAACAAACTAAGGTGAACTGACTAACTGACGGCCTAATCTCTTCGTGGCGAGAGCGTTATCTCCTGATGAGAAGATCTTTAAAGTGCAAATCCACCTGTTTCTTGAGTTTGATTACATTTAGCGTCGTTGAAGTTTTGCATTGCACCCTTTACATCCCTAATCAAACAAAAGAGGAAGAAACCAAGGGTGTCACAGCAATGGTGGTGGATGACGTCAAAAACCTGACTTTTCAAAGGGCGATATCTCGGTTAATATTGAACGTAGAAAGTTGCGGTTTGGGCAGATCTTATTATTTTTTGCTAATCTACAAGAATCAAGCATCAAAACACGATTTTGTGATCAGCGCAACTGACTCATTCTGCCTCCAAACATGAAATTTTTTAAAATGAATTTTGGGGAAATTTTCAACAAATACAGGTGCATTTAGCTGTGGCACTAGAAACGCGCACAGGGGGAAAGGAATCTGTCAGCTGGGTGTGGCCTTGGATGCCTCTTACTCTCTTTTACGGCAGCCTTGGTGTTGGGGCCGGCCTCTGAATGTAGAAAATATAGAGTCAGAAATTTTGTATCGGATGATTTGAAAAATACAAATTAGAGATTAATATGCACATTTTGGATCTTTGCAATAAGTCTAACAGTGAATTTAACTTTAAAACTCTCCAAATAAATTAAAAAGAGAGAGAAAAAAAGAGAAATTGAAATAAAAAGAGACGATTCATTTGAAATAAGTGACTTGAGTATCCTACACGATCAAATTTTCCTCCGTAAAAATGTTAAAAGCGAAGGCACAAATTTTTCACTGATCGAGCGAGGAAAATGAAAAAAACTGTGGAACTATCCATCAAAAAATTATAATTTTTGTAATCTTCTATTTACCTGGTTCCTGTCGTAAATTCTAATAATTATTTCCCAATTTTCAGCACTGAAGAAGAAAATTCGGATAGAGGACCTTTTGTACTCGGCAGGACCTTATCAGTCTCAAAACATCACATCCAATCTGATGAATTTAGTTATGCAATTTAGGAAAGTAAGTAAATCAAATTGTACTAGCCTGTTTGCAGTGCTCCCATTTAAGTACCTAAAAAGTCAATACTGAGAACTTACTATCATTTCGTAAATGATATTCCAACACAAATTTCAGAGTCTGGCAAATTAAAAATATTTATTAAAGTTCGAATTTATAAAAGATACATAAGGTACAAATTAAAGGTCAAAACATTGCACACTTTATAGATGATGATATTTAAAATACTTCTATGGGTATTAAAATGTATCAGAACGCACTCATTTTGCCAAGCCCTACTCTGCATCCTGTGGGCATCAGGATAATAATATGTATTTTGCGTTAAGGATTTAGAGAAGTGGTCTACAAAATGTGAAAAATATATTTGTTTGAATGAATCAAATTATGTGTAAGAGTGTTTCAAATTTCATCATCATTAAGAAAAGACAGTCTGGAAGAAAAGAAATGAAAATAATTCAATGTGGATTATGATGCTTTTCAAGCGCAAAATAATTATTTGAACTGCTTTAATGTTGTAACAAAAAATAAAGAAAAAATGGAAAAAAGAGTCATTATCTCCGAAAACTTAAGTAAATTCCAAATTTTCTTGTGAATAAATCACGAGGTATTAGATTGATTTTAGCTTGCTCATCTGAATGTACTGCATATTTGTTTTTATTTTTGACCTATCACCTATCTATTCTACAATCAGTTGAAAAGTTTACATCAACTTTCCACCTTTGAGCACCTCAAACATTATTTAAGGAAATCATCATATATCGAATGCAATACTGACGTTGATCAATCATTTTTCAAAGATCAATATTTCCACTAACATCAAATGTAAAAACTTAGCCATTTCCTCAGCCATGGTTTTTTTTTTTTTAATACATAGTGTAGGCAAATATCCAAAAATGAATGTTTCCCTAGTGTAACTGACCAACTCAAAACTTTTAAATAATAATGTTTTCCAAAATCTGCCCAGGTCTGTAATCATCCAGAGCTTTTTGAACGTAGAGAAGCAAAAGTTCCTCTATCATTTGGAGTGGGAGACTATGTTGTGCCAAAAATTGTGTTTGATGAAGCTTTACTCATCCGAGCCGTGCCCAGTCTCAGGCATCTCCTCTTCAATCATCTTTCTATTTTCGCTCCGGAATATGTGCATCAATCAATATTTTCTGAAGAAGGTAAATCAGTGTTTCTCCTTAGTGGAAAACAAAGGGTATGTAAAAGCAGCCCGAAACGGAAACGACAATCGAGAACACAGGAAAAAGCGGAAACAAGGCTAAAATACAAAATATAAAGGCAGGACGTTTCAGTACCTTATGGCACCATTATCAACTGCAAAAAGAATTAAAAGTAAACAAGAAATTAAAATAAAAACCAGCACACGGCGTTACATCGTGAAATTACCATAGTCTCATTTACCAATTTCACGATGTAACGCCGTGTGCTGGTTTTTATTTTAATTTCTTGTTTATTTTTAATTCTTTTTGCAGTTGATAATGGTGCCGTAAGGTACCAAAACGTCCTGCCTTTATATTTTGTATTTTAGCCTTGTCTCCGCTTTTTCCTGTGTTTTCGATTGTTGTTTCTCCTTACTACGCTTAATCTCCATCCCAAATCAGCCTCTAGGTTCGGACTATGCAATTATTCAGTGATGATTTTGCTGTTAGCAGCAGTAACAAATATACCAAAATAGGGGGGTTCTTCAATTTATGTTTGTAAATTTGATTGTTTTACACCCTTGCCCTCTGCAAAGAAAAACTGAGATTTTAAATTCTAATATTACGTACTAATCTTCCAAAATTCATGCAACAATTTTTTTTGAAAATCTCTTTCATTTTTTTTCGTACGATGGTTCACGACAAAATTCCAACAGTCACATAGAATCCTTATCTTTTCATCAGTTTCTTTCATTACAGCATTCATAGCTGTATTTATTCCTTTGGCTCTGTAATTATGATTTTATTTTCAAATTTGATAAAATTTTTAATTTTTTATCTTTTGTTTAATCGGTTTGCTTACAGATAGGCAACAATTCGAAAGTAGTTTTGCTTCATTCAGTCGATTGATAGATATTTCACCAATGGAATTGCATAAACTCACTGTCAGCGGTATTCTATACAGGTGAGTCCACAGATAACCCTCATCATGTCTGTCCTCACGGAAAATGGGCATATCCAACCGGTTGTTATGCCACTTAATAATTAATATTAAGTTTACAGTCTATTCAAGATGAATCTGGTCAATGGATATTTCGGTTGGAGGATATTGCACTAACCTCTGGTATTTCCAATGGCAATCAAATTGATATTTTTCTCAAGGGCCGAAGCATTAAAATCTAAGTCTGGAGGAAAACGGACAAAAATTGTGCCTTTCAACAGGCGTTCAATCTTATGAGCCCAGTTTTAATATCCATTTCTAAGACCCATACACTTTTTGGGCTTTCAAGATTGATCGGATGCTGAACTCATGGTTTTTGGCATTTGAGACCCTATAGAAAAATATCAGTTCAACTGTGGAGAAAATTCCAATATCCAATAGGAAATACTTTAAAGAAGAGTAAAATTAGTATTTAAATTGCTTTTGCTGATACAGTGACTTCACTTTTTATCGCCAGTTTCAATTTTTTGTCAACTTTTTTACACGGCAACCCTGAAATCTTGAGGTTAGTCTGAGTTAGAATTAAAATATACTCATTATTTTAGTCCAATGAAAGTTATTTCAGTATAAAGGACCTATTGATTTTATCAAAATTATTCCTGTATTATTATTTGTTTGAAAAAGAAAAAAAAGGATCTCAATGATAGAGATTAACACTTCATGCCAAGTGATTTCTTGTTTCTACGTCAAGGGTTCATTGTTCCATCATAAATATTGATCAATTGATTATTTTTCTGTAAAGGTGGCTGCACATTGTTGAAATTTTGAGAAATTTTCAAACTCTTCAAAGATTCCAATCATAAATATTGATCAATTGATTATTTTTCTGTAAAGGTGGCTGCACATTGTTGAAATTTTGAGAAATTTTCAAACTCTTCAAAGATTCCAAAACGACTGGCACCCAGAAGCTGTGACTAGGTGGTCTGCGCTTTTACCACGGAGAAATCTTGCTTCAGAGCTGCAATTTACTGCAGCTAATGGGCGGAAATGTGTTTTTGCTCACCAAACTGTAACTCTCCACTGTATTCCTGAGACAATGGAACATCGTGTTTTACGTTCACGAAAATTCCAAGAGGCCAACCCTAATTCGGTAATAAATCTACGTGTATAGTTTTTAAACCAGCCTTTGGAAGCTTTTGAACACCTTTCTTTCAAAAATACGTAAAAATAAGTATCCCTAATGGCTTTCAAATTGAATTATGCTTTTATCCATTTGGATCTTTATCTTGAAAATATCAGTACGACTCATTATATTTTCTTTCTTCCAACAATTTTTCCATTAATTTTTCTCAAACTTTAATGAGAAATATGATTTTTTAGGTGCTTGACTTAGATTATCTTTTTTTAGGAAGGAAAAAAACACGTGCAGTTTGGTCAATTATCTCCTCTCTAATAATTTATTTTACCTTATTTCAGACTGTCCCTGAAAGTGGAAAACTGGAGTTACTGCCTGAGTTTCCTTTCAATCCTCGCCCTCCGAAGATACTCACCGATCACCCCACTCACCTACCAGCTTTTCTCTTTGAACCTGTGATAAAGGTAATCAATTACCAAATATTTCAGACCTTAATATCTGGTCTGTTGCGATGTTAATTTTAAAACCATTTCCAGCCAATAAAGTAGTGACTTTCTCAAGGTTTAACACTGCCACTACCAATTGGCCAACCTACTTTGAGTTGCAAGATCAAATGAACATCGACAGAGAAAAAATCGATGTAACCCACCATTGGTAAAATTAGTGAACCATATTAACACTTCAAAATCTTTAAAATAATTTTAACAGGTGTAAAATTTGCGCAGGTATTGGTTTAAAGAGGGTATTCAAAAGATGAATTTCCTAGCAATATCGCAGATAGAAGAGACTGAAAAGGTTCAATTCTTAATTATTGAATTATAAAATCGAGAAAATTTATTTTGATAATTGGCTTAATCCAAAATGAAAAAAAAGGAAGAAATGAAACAAGATAACTCATTCTTTTCTTGATGGCTCTTAATGAAGAAAATTACGTCATCAGCTGTTTAGCAACAGCGGTTTTCAACTCTTTCTTACATAATATGATTGCAATGGATTTGTCGCACGCAAGAGATACAACGGAGTGGCAAGAATTTTTAAAGGTAAATTCACTCGAAAATTTTGAGAAAAAATTTTCTGCCATTTATTGAAAGTGAAGGGAAGCAAAAGCAGGAAATAAGACTCCGCTTTCACCTTTTGTCTTTAACTGATTTGAGGGGCCCGGAGGACAAGTTTGATAAGTGCAGTTTTTAAAAAAAAATTGAAGTATTAATGATTTCAACCAAAACTAGTGCTAAAATAAATTCCGTGAGAAATTCACCACTAAAATCCAATTTTGAAGCATCAAAAAGTGAGTTTGAATTTTCTCTCCGCCATAAGGCTCTATGTAATTTCGAAACTTTAAACTCGTATCTCTTGAAGTAACAAAAGCTACACTTATCGCAATTGTCCTCCAAGCCATTCATTTTCCTTAAATCCAGGCTTCAAAAGTAATGCACTATATCATGTTTTATCGTATAACTTTAGTCCCTTATTTTTTTTATTTCCAGGTTGAAACAGCCCCATGGACGTTATACTTCAGTAGCAGAGCAGCTGCTTGGTGCCGTTTGCAGGATGAACGTTGCAACACTCCTGAAGGTTACGCATGCATGTGGTATGGAAGTCCATCTCTTATGGACGCCTTCAAGAAGAGGCACATGAACTTGCACTACACTGAAATCGGAGGTATCATTGGCAGCGCGCCACATACTGGTTGGTCCAATATCATAATTCCTAACAAGCAAACGCTTGTCACCGATGCAGGCAAACTTACTGTCCTGAACGAGTTGCTAACTCGACTCAAGGAACAAGGTCATCGAGTTTTGATCTACTCGCAGATGACCCGCATGATTGACCTCCTTGAAGAATACATGTGGTTTAGAAAACACAGCTACATGCGGTTGGATGGCTCGTCAAAGATATCAGAACGACGTGACATGGTTGCCGATTTTCAGTCACGTTCCGACATCTTTGTTTTCCTGCTCAGTACAAGAGCAGGTGGACTTGGCATTAACCTCACAGCTGCTGACACGGTCATTTTTTATGACTCAGACTGGAATCCAACTGTTGATCAACAAGCCATGGACCGAGCACACAGGCTCGGACAGACGAAACAAGTAACTGTCTACAGACTTATTTGCAAAGGGACCATTGAGGAGAGAATCATGCAGCGCGCAAGAGAGAAAAGCGAAATCCAGAGGATGGTCATCAGCGGTGGTAACTTCAAGCCGGACACGTTGAAACCAAAAGAAGTCGTCTCTTTACTTTTGGACGACGAAGAATTAGAGAAGAAATACCTTCAGAAACAGGCCGAGAGGAGGCAGGCAGAGCAGCTGAAGGAAAAAGAGAGAAAGAGGAAGGCTGGCAAAGAAGGATCCAGAGACGAAAACGATTTAGATACATCAGTCAACTCGTCCCCAGCAAGTCCAATTGTTCCCAATTTTGAAGACACCATCGTTGATCCTAGCACTCTTGTTGTTAAAAGAGGTAGCAAAAGAGGAAGGCCTCCTCAAAAAAGAAATCGAGGCTTGGACTTATCTCTCCCAAATCCTGTCAACGAATCAGGTATTCCGCCTGCTAGAATGATAGTAGTTAAACGAGGCCCAGGGAGACCGCGTTTACGAACCGGTGGACCTGCGAATCTTGGCTCCCGTGGTTTTAAAGTGCAGCGAACAAATAGACCAATGGCAAGCTCTGATTCTTTTAGTTCTCCAGTATCATCTAAAAAAGACTCATTTGATTCTAGTCCAGGTTAGGTCATCTTTGAGAGACTGAACTGTTTTTTATTTAATTAGATTGTAATGTTTATCTGCTGTGCTGTGCTGTGATCATCTTTCAATTTATTTTCGAGTTCTTTGTTAGGTAAGATCAAATTGATTTTCTTGCGTTCTTCGTGTTTAAAACGTACTTAAAAGTTTTCAAGGATTTTCATGATTTTTTTGTTTCTCATTGCGTAGTAGTGATAAATCAGTTGCACTAACTACTTGAAGTGGCTTTAATTTCTCTATAGTTTTTCATTATCATTTGTCATTTGTTGGAATCAGATAATCCGAACAAGATATTGTATAAAATTTGATTTATAGATTTTTAGGAATTGATATTTCACCTAGTGCTAGTGATAAAACAACTGTCTCATTTTATCAGGTTATCATATCTAATGTGACTCCGGGTATTAGTCCTGTCGCATAAATTGTAAAGATATCGGTAGTCATAATTGTTTAATGGCCTCCTTTTGTGGCCAAAATTGAGGACAGTTTTTATGAAGCACTTTATTTATTGTAAATTTCTTGTTTGTAAATTTTGAAATTAGTTTTGTTAAATAAGTGGACATTAGTTAAAATTAAATCATGAATTTTCAAATTAATGTTTTGGACTTGATGAGTTATTATGACCTCGTAGGCCTCATCTGACTTTATATTTACTGCAGAACTTTATTACTTGATCAGGTGTTAATCACTAAATCAGCAATTGAACACATAAGTTCTTACAAGTGCTGTTGGTCGACCAGACACTAACAAGCTTTTCTTAATTTTTTTTGCATCTGTTGTGCAAAAAATTATTTTAATAGATTTTTCAGCAAGGCAGCAAGGATGAAGCAAAAGTGTGAGAAATTCTTTAATTGTTCGATTCATTTTTTAAGCGCTACATCCAGTGATCACCACCAAAAGCTTTTTCAGAAATATTTATTGCTTTAGAACTCACAAAGGTTAAAGTTTGAAATGTAGGATTGCACCTGCAAATTTTTTTTCATATGTATAAAGCAAAGACACAAATTCTGGAGTGCTCAATCTTCCTGAAATTTCTATTTAAGTAAAGTTCTGTCACTCTGAGAGGGTCAATATTTTCAAATCCCCTGCATTACTTTCAGTCATCTTTGTTAAAAAGAAAGCAGTAAGGGAAGTTCTATGAAAGTGGAATTACAAACTTGGCTGAAAGTTGTTCAAAATTTAAAGCCTCAAGTTGTGAATCCAAACCATGAGATATTCTGTTTAAGTATTGATCTTTTACCTAAAATTTCAATTGTGGAAAAATTTTGGAATCTAAGTGATCTAGTTACTGCTTATTCTCTCTTCTCTGCAAAGAGAAAAGATACCTATCACTTATTATGGAATTTCCTTTAAAGCATCATAAAGAAAGTAAATTCTCTGAGTCAGCTCTAGCAGTATCTCTGTAGAAACTCCCTTAAAAGAGGTGGGTAGCCACCCAGCTTTGAGAGTTAACTCCAAAATAGCATAGCTGAAAAGAAAGAGACTCCACGATTTATCTCTTGCACTCACAATTTAAATGCAAAAATGAAAACGGCAGATTTTCAGTCTCATTCCAAATCGGTCGATGATGTGAGAACTCTACCCCCCACGACACCACTCATTTTGCACAGAGTTTAAAATAATTAACTCAAAGGATGCCCTCATATTGACTGAAACTACCAGACCACGTATCTCAGTTTGTGACTACTCAACGTTAATTCTTGAAAATGTCTGTGGTTTTTTCTCTCTATGCAAAGAAAACTCCGTAAAAAATTTCAAGAAATGATATTGGTTTGTTCTCCTTTAAAAAGACAAAATGGGAGCGGCGATTCTTAAACACCGCAAACGAGATAGGTGGTCTAGTAGTCTCACGGTCGAATGTCGATGCTCGACGGAAGGGTGTGTGAATTTCAAATCTGGCGCCATAAAACTACCACCGGTTTTTGGTGCGCATCCTTTGTTCGTCACCGTTGTGCGACGTTGCAGCCGTTACGTTTGTTACGTTGGCTCGTTGGCCGGACGGACCCGGATCTGCAGGCTACGTAGCCAGAATTGAGTTGGTTTACTTTCGTGTCGTGTGTCTGTTTCTTTTATTTCATCCATAAAGTTAAACTTTTCCCGTGAAAATGGGATTGAAAAGGAAAACTACTTCCAAAAATCCCCCTATTTTAAGTCACGAATTCGTCATACAAAATCATGCTGACATTTTCTCGTGTGTTGCTATGGTGTTTATCATAGGTCTGATGGTCCAAGTAAGTGTTATCTCAAGTCAAGAAATTGTCTTAATTAGCAATTAAGTACACAAAATTACTCATTTTTGATCTGCCGGTCAGTGAGCCACTTTACGGGTAGTCTATCAACTATTTTGTGGATCCTATCAGATCAACATACCTATCACAAGTTCTGTGCTATCAGGAAGCGACAACTCAGCTTACTTTTTGTCGTAGAAACTAAGTATTTGTTTAGCTGTAAAAGTGTTTTCATCATACGTATAAATATACACCCCTTTCAGTCATCCTGAGAGCACAGTAATTACCACTTTCGAAGGAGCGGAGATGAAATTTTCACCAAGTAAATGAAACAATGTACCATATTCCTCAGCTTCGTCGCCAACTCTTATTCGGACCTCTTCAATAAGTTGAACCTCTATCCCAATATAAAATTGCAGTTTGTAACACTGTAAATTTAGTCGAAGAAATTTGGATCCACTACCTTTGATCACTCATGTATTCGATGTGTATGTAACCTCTGCTCTAGGAAATGAATCGCCTCTTAGTTTTTAGAGGAAATGTATCAAAATTTCTTTTACCTCAAGTGGGCAATGCATTTTTCCAATTTATTCATCCATGGTTAACTTTTCTTGGTATGCTCTCCCTATCTTTTGAGGAGCATTCGCAAAATTTTGAATCTTTCGCATTAGATGAAAGTATAATCTCAACGGATGTTCAATTTTGCTCTGTGATTCTAGGCTACATCGCCATTGGCTTACATGTTTATTGGACTAAGCCACAATGCAAGTGCGGAGGTTGGACCTGATGCTAAACCCCTTGATAATGGACCCATTTTGTACACATATGGCTGGAAAGATGCTTGTGTTGTTTTCTTCTACTTCCTGATCATCATCATTCTTCATGCCATATGGCAAGAATACATTTTGGATGTAAGTTCCTGATTTTCTTTTTTTTTTTCTAACATACATATATGGTTTTATTTCAGTGGATATTTTGGTATTTCTGTCAATTTATTGCTTAATGGTTTTTTCCATTACTTATGTATTTTTTTTGCAACTTTCATGGATTGCTTCTTACACCGAAGAAAGCACACAGTGAATGATAGAGTGCAAAATAACTTTTCTAGAATCACGCCCAGTATGTCAGGACAAAAATGATTCAATATTCCTGTCAATTACCATTTTCAAGCGGATGATATTTTTGTCAACATATGCTGGACAAGGCTCTGTAGACATTGATTTAATTACCCTTTGTCTCAGAGTGAATTTGTGACATCTGTAACAAAATCCTTGCTCCTCACACTGAACTTTTCTTTACCCCAGCAAGCTGTTTATGACCGAAGTCCTCTCTCTATGCGAGTTTTTCTCTCACCAACTGTTTTATTTTGATAGCTTCTATTTATGACTTTGTTTTTTTTTTTTTTTATGATTTCAGAAAGTAACAAGGAAACTCCACCTTTCGAAACTGAAGCACAATAAATTCAATGAGTCTGGCCAGCTTGCAGTGTTTTACCTTCTATCATTCCTTTGGGGCCTTGATATCATTGTGAAGTAGGTATCTTTGATCAATTTACAAAACGTATCAAGAACTCAAAATTCAATTGCATTTCTTATCTTGATGAGTTACAAAAAGAACTTGTCAAATGGGCCTGTCGCAAACTTTTGCTAGAGCAAAAGTAAGAGTCGTTCCTTATAAATAATGTCTCAAAAATCACGATGAGCGCATCGGCAAACTCTGAAATGCACTCCTAACTTCGCAATCTGCGTAGGAGCTTTGCGTTTTTTTAAGCTTTGAGCTTCAAAAAGGATACTACAGCACAGGTGAACATTTTGTTAGAGGAGCAGGGGTTGGATGGAATGAACTTTCTAATGAAATGTTCACCTTTGCTGTGGTATTGTTTTTGAGGCGGGAATCTCGAAAAAACGCAAATTTCTCATGCAAATTGTGAAGTAAGGAGTGCATTGCAGACTTTGCGGATGCGCTCATCGTGATTTTTGAGACACTTTCTGAGAGTAACAACTCTTTTTTTGCTCTAGCAAAAGTTTGCAACAGGCCCATTGAATTTTACCAGAATGCAACCACGAACAAAGGAAAATTAATGACTACTTAACTGAAAAATGTATCTAATCAGCTCAAGTAATTTTGAAAGTTTTTATATTAATCATAATTTTAACGGATTTCAATCTGTGAATGTATAGCTCATACCATTTCAAAATCACTGTGAACTTAGTTCAGTATCATTATTGTGGTAAGTTCATTCAATACATGAATAGAAATATAACCCTTTGTATCACTGTCTAAGTGTCTATCATTCTTCTTGTGTATTCTCCGAATTTTAATGTTGAAGCTAAAGCAAAATTTTGTGACTAAAGACAATATAATAACTTATATATTTCATTGATCTCTTACTAGTTTTCTGTAATAAACTGCCATCTCTTGTTGTAAATAGCCCTCGGCAATTTTTTGATCCAGCTGTATCATTCATTTTAATTGTTTTTTTTTAGTGTGCTTTTTAATATTTTTTCTCTTGAGATATTAAATCAATTTATTTTGTTTTCAGGGAAAATTTAATCTTCAACATTTCTTCACTATGGGAAGGATATCCACACTCTCGTATGGGTTTCAGTACAAAATTCTTCTTCCTGTCTCAAATAGCGTATTGGCTCCACTGCTACCCGGAACTTTATTTCCAGAAGACAAAAAGGGAAGAAATGGGCAAGCGAATTCGATATGCTACAGCTGGTTTAGTCTTTTCTGCAGCTGCGTATTTCCTAAAGTAATTATATTTTTCATAAGAAATGTTTTTTCCAATGAAGTAAACAAGATTTCACACAAAAAATGTGAGATAAGAGCTCTGAACTTTTCATTTCAAGTGAATCTAGTTTGTCAACCTTTGGATCATAAAAAATAAGTAGTCACTAGAAGAATTTATAAACTTTTACATTTCCATCTATGATTTCCTGAATTAATCGTGAAATCACGCCTGACAGTTGAACCTCTAAATTACAAAATCTTAAAGTTGGCAATTTTAGAAGATTTTTAGTGAAAACTGTATCTCTATATCAAGACACCAATCTCATTTCGTCAAGGAGTTATTGAAGTGCGAAGGTTCTGCTATTGTCCTTCCCTTCAAACCTTTTTCAGGGTCTAAACCTTCGGGTAAAGAAGAACTGAAATATGAGTAATTAATAGACAAGGTTGGAAAGAAATCTAGAGGGTCGAGGGGATATTGTCTAATATTTAATTAGTTTGTCAGGGTTGTTAGTCAATGTAACTCTTAGCTTCGTCAACCTGTAATTCTTATTCAATTCTTTTCCTATATGATTTCAGCTTCAACCGTGTCGGAATTTGCTTACTAATGCTTCATCACTTGTCTGAAGGTTTCTTCCATGTTGCGAGGTTGATTGATTTCTGTGACAAAGAAGAAAAAGGAAGCAAAGGTAAGAAGCTGCTAGGAGTGCACATTCTTCTAAGCTCTCCACAATTTCATGGGAAAAATTTGACCCCCTCCACAAAAAAATTAAAGATGTGCTTTCACAATTCCGTGACCTTCACAAAAAGAGATGACCTTTTTTTTTCTATTTTTCGTTGAAACAGCTGGGATTTCGGAACTAAGAGGATTGTTGAACTTGATACGGAAACTGTATGCAATTATTGGTTATGCGGCACAAAATAGTTTTAAAAGTAATGAAATGAAATCAGAGATTATTGTGATTCTAAGCTGCTTTGATTCTTCCTCATGTGTCTAAAAGTATTCAATATAAACATTGCAACAATTCCTTTTTTTTCTTTTTTCAATTGTAGTAAGTCCTGGAAACTGCACAATGACTATGACTCAGTGCAAATATTTGTTTTTCAAACAGTAGTTTGAAGTCGAGTATCTTTGTTTTTTCAGTTGGTTACTTGGTCTCAAATGTTGTTTTCGTCCTGGCGCGACTTGGATCATTCATCCTGTCATTCCTCACCTTCTGGTATGGACTGGCTCTCAGTGATAACCAAGTTTTGGATTTGGGTTCCGGTAACTTCAATATTCCTCCAGTGCGATTAGGAGCTCTTGTGTCTGTCGGTATCGTGCAAGGATACTTGATGTTCCATTTCATCACTGATCAGCTGAAGCAGTTCAGAGAATGGAGACCAACTATTGTCAAGAAAGCACCTGCCAAGAAAGCCAGCAAGCCCAAGAAGAAGGATGGTAAAATCAACTATAATTTCTTTTTTATCATGTTTATCCGGCAAACATTTTTTTAATTTGAAGTATTTTGCTAGATTATGTATTCTCTTTTTTTTTAATGCTCTTTTTGTAAATTTAAAATTAAACTTGTGCACCCCAAATGGAAATACTCTTAACTGGAAAAAAAAAAAAAAACGGTTCTTGAAGCCCTGGAAAATAATTGTTTTTTAGTTTAAAAGACTGCCGGCGCACATAGGTATTTTCATATTTTACAAATATGCTGCTGTTTTTTGACCGTAATTTTCCCTGGCCATTAATATCGATGACTATCTAAAGTAAAAAAGTGTGTACCTCAGGCCTCAGATTGGAACTTTGTCAGATGTTTTATATCTTTGAAGAAAAACTAACCTACAGTCTTCATTGAAATGTCCTGTTAATTTTCTTCTCTCATTCTAAAAACAAAAATCACACAAAATTGCAAGGAAGTATTTAGTTAAATTTTCCTTGAAGAAAATTAAACTTGATCGGAGGTTTTTAAGCATTGCAATGGAAGTATGCATTTTTTGCTTTCAGTCATCAATACTGGAATGAAATCCTGTATAACTATTATAACCTAACAACCACTCAAGTAACAAGCATTAAGTCTGAGCTTATCTCTCACACTGAACAAGTATCCACAAAATATTTGAGCTGTGTTAGGCATTTTTTATTTCTTTAAGTCAGCTTCACTCTTAAAGTGAACTAAACCACACGGGAATACTTAATTTTGTTTTCTCTTTTTCTTTGTCTAATATTTCATATTCTTTTATTTTCAGAAAAGCGCGGAGGCACTGATGATGATAACGAGCTGCCCGAAGTTGATCAGAATACGAAGAAAAACTTGCGATCAAGGGCTGTTAAAACCAAGTAGACTCCTCTTACTTTTTCTTACATCCTAAATGCATTGCTCCTGTTTCAAGTTAAACATTTTCTTTGATTATTGAAGACTTGGTAAATATGATTCATTGAATATACGCATGCCAGATAAAGTGATCATCTGTGATGTAGAATGCGGCCAAAATCCTACAGTTTTAGACAATTCTGGGTTATCAGAATACTTGTCAAAATGTACGCAAAGTAACATGTAAAATATGGGTTGATTGGAGCAATGTTAATGGCAAGATTCATATATTAGTATTGCCACCAGTTGAGCAAACTTTCAATGAATAGGGTTCATTGAGGAAAAGTCGATTAAAGTGAACAGATTCGATTTCTTCTTTTGAATCAAAAGTGGTTTTGAATCCACGGTAGAAAATAATTTTATCCAAATCAATGGCCAAGTACGGAAAATGCATATCTCAATTGCAGTGTTTAAAAATCTCTGATTATGTTTTATTTTCCTCAAGGAAAACAAATCACTATGTTTTCTTACAGTGAAGTAATTTCATAGAAAATTCCAATAGGAACTGTTGTAAGATTTCTTTTAAAGAATTGAAACATGAGCAGATATTTACAAATCACAATCTGAGGTATGCGTCTATTGACTTTAGACGTTGAAATATTGGTTTCCTTAATCACTTGAATCAAGTGGATGCGGAAAAGAGATAAGTTTAACGGGCAAAAACTCAGACCAATTTTTTATCTAAAAAATTGTTTGACTTTTAAACTTTGCCTGAAAAATCAATCCCGATTCTTGCTTAACCTTTCAAGGTTAATTCTGTCTATCATTATAAAAATTTATATTCACCATGGAATCATTGTCTTGAAGTCATTGAAATCATGAAAGATCAGTTATGATTGATGTCAGTCTAATGCCAGCACAGATGTGACTAAGTCAGGTCATAATTTTATCTCCAACACAAAGATGTCAGTCAAATATTTAAAAAGTATTTCCATTAATCACTTTTTAGTGCAATCTTTGAAATCGCAAGCAAGCAATTTGCTTTATTGGCAGTGAAGAAGAAAAATCTAGCATTTGAAATCGATCTTAAAAGAAATGCTACTCTTTCATTCTAGTTTTAATTGTTGGTAGTTTTTTTATGGATGAGCTAGAAAAATTTTTGTCATTTTGGTCAGGAAAATTTGGATTCCTGAAATTTTTTAACACTTCGCCACTGTTGTTGCATGATTTAAACTTATAAAGTTGCTACAGCCTGGCAAACCTAAAAGAAACATGGATAATCGCCTAGTTTTTCGTTTTAAGAATGATCGAAGTCAGTAATCCTACCTCATTACAAGATTATGTTATCTCAGAGAATTTGTTGATACTGAGCGGCAGGTGCTTGTTACCAATGTCAAATATTTTTACTTTATCGCTCCCCTTGCGGGTAGAGGAAGGATTGTTTTTATTCTGCACTGAATCAATGAGGAATTATCAGATTATCCAAGTTCAGGAAAACCAGTCTACTTTATTTTCATTTAGCATTTAGTTTTGTCGCCCAACGTACAAATATACGCACATGTTGAAAACTGATTAAAATCATTTGCGTACAATCAACAGAAACCAACTTCCTTTATGGAGAGTAGCCGTCTCAGGCAAGACCATCTCTACAAATACTTTGTTTTCAACATTTTGAAGCTAATTTTTCTTTGAAATGGAGTCTAATTCATTAAAAAAATTAATTTTTTAATCATCGAAGCCAAACTTTTACTTTTCTGACTTCAAAATATGTCCGGTTTTCCTATGTGTTACGAACCAGGACAGATTGCATTATGCCTTCATCTAAGGTCATTGCTACTTTGATCGGTATAATTTTTTTAGGCACGTTAAATGTGTTCGTTTGGGTGAAAAAATCAAATTACCCACCTGCTGGTGTCCAAAAAAAAAAACTGAGGCTGGGTATTCCTATTTATCATTAATTTTTTGGTTCTCAAATAAGTATCCTCAGCTTCCGCTAAAAATAAACTGTTTAAACAATTTTTCTTTAATTTTTTCTCGTCATGGCAGTTTTTCACCCTTGAAAACTATGCTTGAGTTTAGCATTTTACAACTATATCACTTGATTAATGATGGTAAAAAAATTTACAGTTTTTTAAAAATTCCATTTTTCTTTAAAGCTGAACTGTACGGTTCTAATTTTAAATAGTAATTCATTTACGTATTTCTCATCTGATAAATTTTTCTTTGTAAAAATATCCTCAGTCCTATGCAGTGCAATCAAATTACAATCCATCCCTTCTTACAGAGTTTAAGTATTTGCGATCCGTAGATGCAGGGTAATTAAGCCTTAAACAGTTTTTTGCGGCATTTTTTTGAATTATCCATTGAAGTCATTTAACCTATTTTAAATTAGGTGTAATTACCATGCCGACAAAAAGGAATGTAACAATGTGTAAAACAGAATATATTCTTTTCTGAAGCCTGAGATTTGCTTGATTATTCAAGTTAAAGGTTCCATTTCTTGCTCTGTTACATTTCAAAAGTTCATTTTAAAATGCCATGACTGGTTTCCTGTAATTTTTGAGGCTGATTCAATAGTGTATCAGTCCATGTCAGACTTTAATTTGTAAGTAAAGCATTGTTCGATTAGTATTTTACAATTTAGTCCTGAATCAGGAAGTCAAAATCCACTTTCTTTTTTAAAACAAATCTATTGAATTTTTCCTTGTACGATATTTTGGTGCTTCAATAAGTCCTAATCTCCGATATGTCCCTTTATAACGGCCGTCTAGGCATGAAAACTTGTTGAGCTCAAGAATCGCAAGCAAAGTTGCAGGAAATTAAAGCATGATATACTTATCAATATGTATACCAGTATAGGCTCTCAATTGTGAAGATGACAACTTTTTTAACTCATCTGTATTTTTGTTTTTTTCCGCGAGTTCAGCTCTGTAGGTAAATTTTGGAGTGAAAAAAATTACTCAATACAACTTTTCTTGTCTAAAATTAGCTTTAGTCTAAACTTAGTTTATGTTTTTATCGTGGATCTTCCACTTTTCTCTCTTTTTTAAGTCGAAATAGATTTACGCGTTTAGTGATGATTTCTCTTTTCTTAATTTTTTTATCCACTATTTATTTCATTTTTGATATTTACTTTTGACATTTTGAATAGATTTTTGCTCTTCAAGGGCAAAATCATCTCATTTTTTTACTTTTACATTTTAATTATTAATCGGACGAGTCTCGACTAGAGTTCGAATTTACTCAGCAGCCACAGGATGAGTTTTGTGAAGGAAACATTTGGTATTTCTAGATATTGCTGCGGAAATGCTTGAGTATAAATTTGGATTTTTTAAGGCCAAAGTAAAACACCAAGTGCAATGTTTAAATCCTTAATCATGGCATCTTTTTTAATTAGTTCAAAACAAAGTTCCAAAATGGGGAGCTTAATAAATCCGATTTGTTGTGTGTGAATTGATCAAAATTTTGGGAGAAAATAAGTGCATCGCCGTTCAATTCGGTATGTCGAATGTTATGAATAGGTGTGGCATTTTGCCCTGATGAGTTCGTCCTTCTTTATCTGTCATTTATAATCGTTTTTATGTCTCTTTCTATTTGTGTGTTCTTCCAGATTTTATTTCAATAAAGTTATATTCCATAATGAATTCGCTTCAGGTTTGTTCAATTCATGAATCAAGTTTCAAATGTTTGTGTATCTAAAATGCTGGGAATTAAATTTAATATTTTTATTTTTAATCATGTGAATGGTTTTTTTCACTTTGTTTGTAAAAATTGAAACAGCATAATTAATGTTCTTTTTTCATGTTTGCAAAATGCAACGCAGGTAATAGGATGGCTCTTCAATCATCCGTTCTTTTGAGTCGATTTATAAAAGAGTTTTTTTTTCAAATTCATATTGTTCATCCATCGTAGAACAGGTACCCTTTTAAGACATTACCATGCATTCATAAATAGTTATTACTATAATTTACTCAAATTATTGGATCTTATGAAAAAGGTTTTAAAGCAAAGAAAAGAGGTCAAGGTCCATAAAAACATAAAAAATTGCTTTTAAAATTGACTCAAGTCAAGAACGAATGATTATAGAACCCCTGTTACTTGCATTGCATTTTGCAAAAACGAAGAAAGAGCATTGATTGGGCAGTTTTAATTTTCACAAAAAAAAGAAGAAAAAAACGGAAATAAATACATACAAGAAAATTATGGTCACACAATTTTTCTGGTTAAAATTGATTAATTCATTCATTGAGTAATAGATGGTCCAAATTTATAGATAACAAAAACCTATGCAACAATTAATCAAAAAGAACAAATTCTCAACAGCTCTAGTGACCTAATACATGACAGAAAAGAATGAAAGTGGAGACAAATTAAATTCAAACAAGTAAGCCAAATTAAATATAAATTAAAATAAAAAGAGAACAAAGAGACCAGAGGAAAACAGTTCAAGAGGGAGAATAGTGACAAAGAGCTCTCTGGCGGTCCATTTTAATGTCTCAGTTCCACGCCCTCTGAAGTTTCTGGTAGAAAGATCTATTTTCTGACTTCTCTCCTCCGTGCTGAATTGAAGTACCACTAGTATAGTTAAATATTATTAGACAAGTAAAAAATATTTAACTGTTTAAAGACTTATTTTCTTGAACTTACTTTTAATTCTAAGTCCAGTAAATTAAATCAAATAGTTAATTTTTTTTTTTTTTATGTGTTGATTTTTATGAAAAATTGCAATTTTACAGATTTTTTATAAGCACATATGCTGCTCCTTGTATAGGTTCGTATGTACACAACATGAGGAAAAAAAGGCTAAAATTGAAGCAGGAAAAGTCGATATGTATGTGTATATTGATCACAGTCGGACAAAACCGAGTAGAATCAGTGTAACGGCATTTATAACGGCTCTCTCATATGTATATTATTTTTTTATCAAAGAACTAAATTGCATAATGCCTTGAAATTTTCTGTGAATTTACTCTAGACTATGAGAAATGTACTCGCAAAATTTCAAATTTCAGTGTTGCTTAGTTTTCTGCCTAAAAGCACAAGAGAGAATTACGCAATGTGAGATGCAGTTGGGCTAATTCCATCCAATTTATTCATCTCACAAAAGATTACTCATGTGTTCTATGAGTATAATAACATAAGAATCAATCTTACTTATTGGAATCCTCAGCAACGAAGTACCGATGGTGCATTGCTTTTCCAAATTGACTTTCTTTCTAAGTTTACAACATTTAGCATTTTCTCATGAGCACAGATATTATTCCAAAGTTTGAAACATTACTGTTAATCAATTTATTGAAGTGACATTTAAAAGAAGATGAAATTTAGAGAGTGCATCAAGTTATGGCCCTGTTGAATTCAATAACTGATCGTCGTCATGGTGATATGGGTCATGTTGATGAAGTAAGTAACCACAGAATCACCCATCTGTTAAATGAGGCATGGTTCCAATATACTACCCTCATGGACCTCTGATGCAATTTTTGTTTATGTAGCTCTTTCACATTGATTTCAATGAAATTAAATAGACTGTTTCAGTGCATTTCTTTTTGAAACATGTGGCAACATCTTTACAGAGCGTATGTACTTTTTACCAAATAACTTGAATCAATGAAACTGAAAAAACTCAACCTTCGTTACTATCCTCCAGGTAACTTCCAGTATACCGTTTTTATCTTTTAAATTTTTTCTGAGAGAAGGAGAAAAAAAACACAAAAAGCCTCCGGGCATGTTGAATGAAGGCACAAAAACCACTTCAGACCCTTCAATAAGGAATGTAACTGAAATTCGTGGTTTTTTATTCCCCAGATTTACCTCTCGAAATCATTATGCTATTTTTCTCTCACATTTACTGTTCGAAACCTGCTTTTTCTTAATCATAATTGACGAGATATATTATAGCCAAAATGTGCTTTAATTCCGCATCCTTTTTTTTCGACCTCAATTTCTCAAAAAGACTCTGAGGAAAATATCCCTGTTTCAAAAATATGTAGCTTAGATGATTAGTAGCAGCGAGAAAAAATACATACTCTTGTCTTGAGAGAGAGAGATAATTTAGTTCATTCACATTTTCATATTTTCTCTTTTGAGACAAATTGTAATAGTTTTGATTGATTTCAGGATTAGCTCTCGAGTATTTGCAAAGTGGTGTGCACAAAACCAAAATGATTGATCTCCTCGACTTAACAGTGCGGTAAGAATAATATGGCTTGTTTGCTTTTTCAATCAACAACATTGATATCTACAATTGGTAATTTTTGCCGCTGTGAAATGCCCAAAGTAGTTCAACAGAGAGGATTGTCAGTAAAAATATGTATTTTATCAATAGAGGTACTTAGATTGCTCCGTTTCAAGTGAGCAGTTGATAAAAAGAAAAAAAATATTTGGAGCTCCAGAAACGTCTTTTTTCAAATTATAGGTCACCTTAGACTTAGTGAATTTGTTTTTGAAGTGAGTTTACATAAACATTTTTTTCCTCATTCTAATAAATCCCAACATTTGCTGAGGTAAAAATGTTGAAAATATCAGAATTAATGAGAAAATGTAAAGCGTTCTAACCATTGGATCTTTCTTTCTCTTCAGGACAAATCTGGAGGAACTGGCAAGCAATATAATGCTGAAAGAGCCTCTCATCTCTCCAAACCTCACCGAAATTCTCATCAAAGCCTTATCTAAACTACAACAAAGACTTTGTGACGCAACAAAAAAAACCTTTGTTAAACACCAAACCATCAAAGCTCATCTATTACCTCTTACCAATGTTTGTTTTGACAAGGAAGGTGGAAGGTAAGTGAAAGATTTTTAAAACAGTCACAATTTTTAGACCCTTGAATCCTTAAAAGAGAGATTGTGTGTTAAATTCGGTATCAAACATAAGTTTCTCTTTATTGGGGCTGTCTCATCAATTTAAAAACTCAAACTATCTTAAGAAAATAAAACGTGGCGCTAGACGCAATGCGGCCCTTCATTAGTAGCACTGATAAATTCCGAGGAATTGTTCTTTTTCAAAAAAAAAAAAAAAGAGAGAGAATGGGAGCGGAGATTCTAAAACATTGCAAACGAGATGCACGATTTGGTAGTTTCACTGTTGATACGTGTTTAGTTTGCTTCCCAAATTAATACAATACAGCTAGGGCTGTTCTATCGGTTGTCGGTAAGCTACCAAAACAGTTCCGTTAAGAAAAAGTTACGATAAGAGTGCTCTTGCCGATAGCGATTAAAGTTTTCAGAGCTGGCGAAAATAAGCTGTTGCCATCTGTACATCTATTTTACGCGCCGCCGCGCCACTCAATCTGATAAACCGACACACGGGGCAACAATGCATTGAGTGCGAGCTCTCAAAAATCCGATAAGGCCGGCTGTTGTCGATATCATCGCCACTATCGGTACTGCTGCCAGTTTCAATAAGAGACAATATCGATAGTGTTCCGGCAAGAATTCGTTTGAACACCCCTACAAGACAGCTGGTACAGCATCATTGTCAAAATTTTTCCCCCTGAGTCAGTCCTCAAAGAGTGCATGATTTTTACATTAGCTGTGATTCAATGGAGAATTTACGTATGAAACTCATTGGAATACGTACACAAACTGCAGTTGTTCTTATGTAGATCTAAATAACTCATCTTGTTTTTTGAGGCCCATTAAGAAATTTCCTTTTTAATATTTCCTGGGGCTCCTTGGCTTTATTAGTAGATAATAAAGGATGTAATCAGTAAATTCAACAATTAATGGAATAGTATCAGTCGGCTGTTCAATCAGGTTGTTCCGCTTAAAGGGGCAATTTGGCCTGAATGGTGTGCCCAATATTCAGGACTTAAAGAGCCCCCAGAGAATCATTGTCTTGCATTTTAAGTGGCCCACCAGGAGCCTCTCAGCAATAAATGAAGGAAAAATTGAACATTTTGGCAAGTTTCTGTGTTGTAAAAAAATTCTAATCAAAAGGGCCCCAGCTCTTTGGCTCAGCTTTTTGGTCCAATAATTACCAACTGGCAGCATGGGTCAGACTGCTCCTGTCTCCAATTCCGCATTTCATTTTTCCGATGCATAATGTTTGTTCTAGCTGATAACAATCGGCTTTTTTTACCAGTCCGTATTTTTCTCCGCAGGTGTCTGACTGGAAGTTATGACCGACTCTGCAAAGTGTGGAATGTTGATGATGGGCAAGTAATCACTACGTTGGAAGGACATCAAAATGTAGTCTATTCTGTAGCATTCAATAATCCTCTCAGGTATGACCTCATTCTGCTCAGTTAGCTCAGTGAATAGATGAGGTGCCATTTACTTAAATGTGCTCTATGTAGCATGTAGTAAATTCTGTTTATATGTTAGCGACACAGACTCAGCAAACTTCCTGTCACATTTTATTTCAATAACAGATAACTAATTATTTTTATGCGGTGAAGGTCATGTGATGTGTCTCTGCCCATTTAAACCTATCCTCTAGAAATTTCAGGCAGATTTTTTGTCAGTTTTCTTTTGAAAAGATACATATCATATTATCAACTAGGTCTGCGCAAACCCTCTGGAGGTTCGAGCTGGATGGTCGGTTCAGGTTTGCTTCAATTTCAAAATTTTGGATTTTTTTTCTTAAGATTTGAGACTTGATTCACTTCTATCGGTTTATTAGCACTATTTGAGAGACGTCCGAATTACTGTATTATTTCCGTCCTCAAGTGCCATGGGTTTTTTTTTTTTTTTTTTTATTCTTTTAAACTTGATGGTAATTCCTGTGGGGAGAATTATTTTGCTTTTTATCAAAATCAATTTTACCAGTTCACATGTTATAAAACAGTTAAATTGATACAAGCCATAAAAATCTAAAAGTGAAACATGTAGATTTTTTATCTTCCATATTGTTCCGGTTTTTAACAGGTTTTGCTTTTGAAATTGATTACAGTGATCGAGCTCTAACAGGGTCTTTTGATAAGACAGCCAAATTATGGAACGTATTTACTGGCGACTGTCTAGTCACTTTTTGGGGACATACAGCGGAGGTTGTGGGTGCACAATTCAACCCTTCAAAAGAAACAGTAGCAACAATATCTATGGATTCAACAGCAAGAGTATTTGATGTTATCACCGGTAGGTCCATGTATTCTTGCATCATTCTTACAAATCAAATGAAAAGTGCACAGCTGTTTTGTTCACTGATTATAAGCTTGTTTGCAATACATCAAGTATCACTACCTTTTTCTACCATCAAAGAAAATTTGCATAGTTTATTTTTTCTTGTCAAAATATTTAGGGTTGCATAATTCAGAATTTTAGTCTACAAACGCATTCTAGCTCTGCTAGCATTTACATAGTGTGTATTTGACTCAGATGAATTTTGTGAAAACGCCTCCAATTAGAATGGAAAATTTAAAATTTCTCACGTCATTTAATTTTGATTGTATTTTTCAGGTCAGGAATTGGCAACTCTGCTCGGACATGATGGTGAAGTCGTTGCTTTGGACTTTTCCAGTAGTGGCTCACACCTCATAACTGGCTCCTTTGATAGCAAAATTCTTCTATGGGATACTCGAACTAAAAAGTAAGTAAATAATTTTGGTATTCTGCTTTTCGCCTTACAAGCAGTGACTCTTCAAATCAATTGTAAAAAGAACATCAATCCCTGGAGGAAGTAAATTTCACTAAAATAATTGTCAACATTTTGATGGCCGAAATCCAAAACCACATATCTTCGTTTCTGACATTGCAGACTTCTCGGCTTAACTTATTATTTCTATAGTGAATAAATCAATGGAATGTCTTGAAAACTTCCGTGACTTTTTCTTCGCTGTCAGCAGAATATTCTGTACAAATTCAAGCCGTAAAAATGGCCTTGGTTCTCTATGAATAAACAAAATAAGAGTGGAAATTTTGAAATACTGCAATGAATCTACGTGGTCTTGCCCCTTGGCCATTGATTTGTATACCCTCTCCCTCAAAAAACCCTCCATAAATACACGAAAGTGTGGCTTTTATCTGCGAATACGTCGAGTAACTAGATGATAGTTTAGTGTCGTGTCCACGTTTTTACATTTCCAAATCAAAAGGGAAATCAAAGCCAAAAATTAGAATTAAGGATTTAAATAGATATCTTTGATATGTACCAACAATCCAGAGAGAAAAAAAGGAGAAAAAGAAAATACATCTCAAGTGGAAAAATAATTTAGGTATTCTTAATTCCTTAAAGTATTTTTCTTGTGTATAAAACATGACTAAAAAATAGTTATAAAAAAAGTAAATCTAGTATATTCAGTCGATGATGTATTTAAAATGATCAATCTAGCTTTACAGTATATCATAGAATTTTCATTTAGAGTTATTCCATTTTCATTTGTTTTTCAGGTGCGTAGGAGCCTTCAAAGGCCACTCCGAAGAAATTAGCAATTGTCTTTTCAGCTTCAATGCAGCTCTGATTGCAAGTAGCTCAATGGATAAAACTGTTAAACTCTGGGATGTACGGATGATGAATTGCGTTCATACAATCAACACCCACTCAGACGAGGTGAGTTGATACCTCACCTATTTCATTAGCTTCCACAATGATGTTTGTGAGCACCCTCTATTGTCGGAGATCGCAACACATCCTTTTTCATGTTATTGTTATGCTATTTTTTGCATTTTTACAGCATTTTTCAGGCTTAAAAACTCAAAAACTCAGAGAAACCTAACTCATCCTTTAATTCCCTTTCAGGTTCTGGATATTGCTTTCAATGCCAAAGGCACTCACTTAGCTACAGCTAGCAGCGATGCATCGGCTCGGATCTTTAATATGACCAACGGAGATTTTGTAGAGGAGGCTGTCTTCAGTGGTCACTCGGGAGAGGTGTCAAAAGTATGTATTATATTTTCGGCTCTTAATAGCTCTGACTTTTTCAACATTTTCTTTAAACTTTGGGAGTATATATAGTGACTGCTAAAAGCTTTGGGAAAGGTTGCTTTATTAGTTTGCTAAGATAAAATTTATTTATTTATTACTGACTATCTATCCTGCTGGGCCAAGAAAGAATGCCGTATGAACATGCAAGAGTTGCCAAATTTACCGGACTATAACATGTATCTTTGAGGAAAGTTATGCCTATTTTTCCTAGAAATTTGCAGCTATTTTACATTAAATTGCCAACAAGATTATGTGAAAAATGTAGAGAAAAATATTTACAATTTTTCCAGTTAATTCATTTTTTATTGAAAGAAACTAATTTTCTGATTAATCTGACAATTTTTCTACGCAGAGAACAAAAAAACCTGAATTTTGCCAAAATTTTCTGTCAGAGAGAGCTGCCGTTTTCTACAACATTAGTTATGACCAGAAAAATATAGTAAATAACAATAAAACACCAACAATGTTCCTTGCAGTTGGATGCACATGTCATTTGAATAGACAGGTTGCCCCATGTGCAGTACGTATCCTGTACATTAGTAATATTAGTTTCACGGAAAATTTGGCTCTTTGGAAATTCACAATGAGTAGTCTCACAATAACTGCAGTTTCATGAGACTGCTGAAATCTGCGTCGGTATCCTATTTGATCGCTTTAGATGGGAAAAAACCAGAAATGAACAAAGTACACAATTTTTTTAAAACTTTAGAAAAATTAAAAGAGCAGGAAAAATGGTAAGGTAAGTCTTACAAACAATTTTCTCAATAGCGTATCCTTTTAGTACTGTGTCTCACTATGAAGAACATATTTTATTTTGGTATTCAAAATCTATCTAAATAATATAATGCCTTGAAACTTTCAGTGATTATCAGAACATCAATTAACGAGAATAAACTCACAACATTTTCAAGTTAGGATGTTTTTAATTTTATTTGTTGAAGAAGTGAAAATGAAAGGAAATTAAATGAACATCTGATAAAACGGTTGATTCGGAGTGAATCCATTCCAATTGTATACGAGAAAGTAGCCCAAAAAAATTGAACTAACAAATAATTTATTTTTTAAGATTGTTTGTTCTCTCTTTTAGCCTATATCTGTGTCTTGCCTGTTTTTTCTGAGTCTTCTAAGAATTTTACTTTGACTAGAGACGCGCTGATTAACTTATATTAATCTTCTACAGGTTTGCTTTCATCCAGCCGGTAGTCTAGTCCTAACAGCATCTCAAGATACCACTTGCCGTCTTTGGGACACAGCAACAAATGACTGTCTTCAAATTCTGGACGGTCACTCAGATGAAGTCTTCTCATGTGCCTTTTCTTACTACGGAGATTCAGTAGTCACAGCGTCCAAAGATAATTCGCTGATTATCTGGAGATGAAAGTCACCAAATCTCCATCACTCTGCAGTCAGTTGTTTGCTTTTAATGATTCTAGGTTTGGTAATTTCTGAGGTAAGCTATATAGAAGCAGAGATGATTTGACACTTTAAGGTGTCGGTGAATTTTTTTCATTGTGCCCATTTAAGTTTTACGCCCTCCATTTTTTTGTTGAAAAATATGTAGCATAATTTTTTTCAATTTCGCTGATAGTGCTAATTTTGATTAATGCTAAACAAGCCAAAAAAACTCTTTGTTTTCTCGAAAATAGTTACTCTTTCGCCTTCAACTTCGCTCAGTGAGAGCTGGTCGTGAGCATTGAGATACACTAGACCTGCAGCAAAACATGTATTCCTTGTTTTCTCCGGTTTGTTGTGCATCTCGACTGTGCATTGGAGTACTGGTTCATTGTTTCGGTACATGCGGTAGCTACTCAGGCTATGAGCATTTGAATAGTAGATCTGCCAGACAGAACATAAATAAAACAACATTTAAAATCGTTGAATTTCATTTAATCATTTCTTGTGATTCAAAGATCTGGTTACTCGCCTTTTGGCTTTATTGGCATAATATTCAAGGCTCGTACTTATATGTGAGGCTCGATTTTCAAGTTTTTTGTCACATCTTTCTTTTGTAATCAAAATCTTGGCATGGAAGTACAAGGGAAAATGCTTTGATTTTATCTTTCTTTACTAAGCATAGAATTGGACTGAGTTTTTCAGCTTTACTTGTCTTGAAATTTGAAAAATCTTGAACTTTTAAATCAAATTGATTTCAGTCCATTACAGAAATATTTCATAAACTATCGAGTTTAGAGGGTAGATTAGGTATGGAAACAATTTGGCTGTTTTGAATAGTTTACCTGAGCGTATACGAAGTAAAGGCCAGGTTTAGTAACCATTAGCGTTCCATTGTCTTTTAAGTGGAAATGTTTGTCCATCGATAAGCTCCTTACCCATGGACTTGGCTCCCAATCTCTAAAAACACCACCTGGATGATAAAGGTGTCCATTCCCTGAGAATTTTTTCAAAATTAAGCATTCATTTAATTAGATGACCATCAAAATTCATCAATCGGTGTAAGACAGTTATAATGATGAAATGGTGAATTAAAATGACAAGTTACCAATGGAGATCTTTTACTGTTTGTTACCTAAGTTATTTAAGTTAAAGTTACTTAAGTTGTTTAAGTTATTGCTGCTTTAAATTTATAAAATTTCAAAATATAACCAACTGGTGCCTGGAAATCGCCAAGGAAGTTATTTTGTACTCATACTCCTACTCTCAGAGAAAATGAGAGTGAACTTCTGGAACTACTTTGATTGGATTTCAATTAAATTGAAAATGAAAAAAAGAAGAAGAAAAATTTGATGTGATTATTATAATTAAAGTAAAATTATGTAATCATTAGAGGTATAAAGTTTCATATTTACAGATATTCAGAGATTATAATCAGACCACTACCTAGATAATGTGCATGCCTCCCATGAATATATTTGGATGTTTGACCACCAAAGTGTGCGGCCAGAACAGATTCATCGACCTTTGGGGGCTCCTCTTGAAGCTCTTCGTCTTCAATTTCAGCTTTTGGTTTTCGCTTTCCTGCTTTCTCCTTCTTACTTTTTGTAAACTTCACCGGCGGGCTCATGCTCTAAACAAATAAAGAAGTGGAAGATAGGATTGCTGGAATGAAGTAAATAGACTGTGAAACTTTTTACGCAAAAGTGATGGATTTTGAAGGTATTCTTCAGCTTAGCTCTCACCATTTCACACTTGGATGATTAGGATGTAGTATTATTTTTTTTTTCTTTTTATTTTTTTTAGAGCTTGCGCTTTCTAGATGCGGGTCACTTGGCCTTAGTCGTTTTAGACAAACAGCCACCGCTCAGTAAAGGCATGAGATTTGATTATTGATTATATGAAGTGGGATTCAAGTTCTTGGTAGAGTAATTATTTTCTTGATAGGATAGTTTTGGAATCAATGATCACTTGAGGATCCGGGTTTCTCATGAGATTAGTATAAATTTTATCTTCGGGCTTATTTCCTGTCATTTTGATCGTGTTAGTTACGCCTCAGAGTAAAATAAAAGGTGCTCAATCCTTACCTGCTCTGAATTTTCATGAGTTGAGTTTTCTTGCTCATTTGAGTTGTGGGGCATCATTTCATCTCCTTTTGAATCGTCACTGGTCAACTTCCTATCGTCCAATTCCTGTTTTTTGGCAAGTCTGTTCCATAAAATAAACAAGATTCAAGGTTACGTGACCAATTGAAAGAAATTGCTAACTTTTTCCAGAAAGTTAACTTGAAACTTTCGTAGATAGAATCTAGTGGGTAATTTCAACTTACATTGGTCGTATTTAGAGTTATGAAAAGTTATGAGTTTCAGCTAGGTGGAAAATCAGGACCTCAGTAAGTAAAAATTGCCCCTCTGAAAAATTAAGCATGATGTGGAAAATCTGAAGACTGCGTAATTCTCCAACATGTTTTTTGCCACTTCCTGTGGATTCTATACTTGTTGAACAGCCCTAGGAATAACGATTAAAAGAAAAAATTGCCTTGGAGGCAGAAATTTAGTCTCAAAATATCCCATGGTAAAACTGAGACCTTGTCTGTTGGTAAGAATTCAGCATGGTTTAAAGAGAAAAGTCCCCAATAATGCTTTCACTCCCCTTTAAGTAAGTAATTCAATATTTTAGGCAGCCGTTCCTAAAACGTATGTATTCAAAGACTTTACTAACTTCATTTTTGTTACCATCTCGGAGTCATCACAATCTTTATTCTCGCATGCAGAGTCCATTTTATTTCCAGTCAGGCTCCGTTTCTCTGTTTTACTCATCGTTGATTGAGCTGAACGACGTCTCCGTTCATTAGAAAGTTCCTCAACTTCAACAATCCTGTGAGTCTTTGGGGGAAAATTAGGCAACAATTGTTCTGGAAACTGGATTCTTTGATCATTTTGAGTTGTATTCTCAACTTCTTCAATCTCGTAGTCCACAGGGTCATTGTAGTTGCTGTCCTCTTCCACAATGGGCAGGCTGTGGTCAACCTCCTCTGACTCAGCGTCTATCTCTTCCTCTTTGTTATTGTTCGATAACCTCTGAAAATTGAAATCACACACACTTTTTTAATTAATTCGTTCCTTTCCATGGGTAAGCACAGGTAAATTGGGATTTTGATGTGGCGTCGCTTCAAAAAATTAGTTTTTTACACATACAGCCATACTACTTACTTGACGGAGCCAGAGCAAGTAAAATACGGATGTATTTATGTGTGTAGTCAGTAGAATATTTTAAAACAAAATTTTTAGCCTTTTAGCTTGGAAAGTGCTCACTCTGTTATAATGCAAACAATTTAAATATTTAGGTGCCCATTAAAAATTTTTTTTAACAAGAGGGCACTTTGATGGTGAAACCGGAGGAACACTCAGGGATCTCAATTTTTGGTGTTGCGGTTTTCTTGTCACTCATTTATTTATGGAGGAAAATTAATGATGAAATCTCACTAATGCCACGAGCATTAGGTCCACCAGTGAAACCAGGCTATCCTTCAATTGGACCACATTTCGCAATTTGGAACTATAAATTCTAGCCTGGTTTAAAAACAACGTATGTGCCATTACTTTCTCTATGCACTTAAATGTTTTCCAGAAGATCCAAAATTTATAGTTCCAAATTGCAAAATGCAGTCCAATTGGTCTGATATTCATAACCAGGGGCTTCTTTAAAGGGGAGCAGAGAGGCGGCCCAAGATTTAGCTTAAATAATATCAGTAAGTACGAAATGACTAAATCCTGAGTTAGGTAATTCAATCCAAATCTTTACTAAAAATTTCCTATGAAGCATCTAAGACATCAAATTTGTGTTGTTACTGTCATCAGTAACTGTTACCCCTGAGTAGGTACTCAGGTAAAAAAAAGGATGATCTATCAAGTGAAAATGTATAAGTATCAATTTTGTGCCTCCCAAATTGTGTACACTATCCTAGTTCTAACTGGGTAGGTCTAGCACTTAATAATTTGAAATTAACCGTTTGGGTTTACATCTGTTGCCCTTTCGTTTTTGCTGAGGAGAGTTGGATGTATTTATTCTGAAAAGAACTGTGAAAATGAAATAAATAAATAAAAAAAAAGATGTGCATGGGGTTTACATGCTATTTCATTCATTTTGATTCTGTTCATTTGCAATAGTCTCCGCACGACAATACGTCAAATTGCATCGAGTTTCCAAGGCTCTCAGAGCGAAGTGCATGTTTAATCAAGGTCGTCTCGAAGTTGATTACTTGTTTTCGCAATACGTTACCCATTATCAGTGCGTTCCATTTCAAGTGCCTTCAATTACGTGCGACGCAATTTGTCTAACGCCGCCTGAACGCTGACGCTGCGCTGCCGCTGCTCCCTTTACCTGTAAGTATTGTTGTCAATTTCGCACTTGAAGGCGAAATTGTGGTTCACCGTGTATCCTGCTTCCTGTATCGCATCCTGCATGTCTATTCTGCCGTTTTCCCTGACATTTCCCGGTATCCCCTAACTATGGTAACCCTGCTTATACCTTTGTCTATCAATTGGACGTATTTATGCTAAATGCAACTATGTGCAAGAGATGGGGTGTGCTGGTTGGTGCTCGGGCCTTGAGAACAAATGGGAAATACGAAGCGCCAGTGACGTCAGCGGCAACGACGGGAGCGACGACGATCGGGAAGGCGGTCTTTAACTCATGAGCCCTGTCCTCAACGCTCGTGTCACATGCCCACGGCTCACGAGTTAGCGCTCACTTCCTTTGGATTTAATTTCAAATCCCGCTTTTCCGTTTTCTTAAAAGAAACACTCTCACATTGTTTCTTATCCAGCTTGCACGAGCACACCCTTTCTTTAGGTACACTTGCACGCACAGTTCCTTTCAGCATAAATACGTCGAATTTCAAGAATGAGCCCGGTGGTGAGGTGAAGTTGAAACGGACCTGGATCTCGGAGCGGAGGGCGGCGATCTTCTCCTCGGAGCGCTGCTGGGCCCTCCTGAGCTCCTCGCTGAGCTTCCTGACGTCATGGGTGAGGCGCTGGACCGGGAGGTAGGCGTCCCAGTAGAGCTGGGCGCAGATCCCCAGGCTGGCGATGCACGTGAGGAGGATGACGATGGTCAGGAGGAACTCGCGGAAGGTGGTCTTGCGCTTCTTGAGGGGCGCCACAGGGACGGGGATGGCGCGGACCGGGAAGGGACCGGGACGTCGCGCGGCGTCGATGACGTTGTAGTAGAGGGTCTCATTGTCGGGCATTTTAGGGCGCGGCGCCGGACGCGGGCCGAAAACTGATCGCCGGACTCGACGCCGGAATCAGAATCAGCCGGAGCCCCGTTATCGGAGCCTTATCGCCGCCTGAATTTGTTGAGTAGGGGAAAAGCTGCGTCCGATGCGACGCCCCGAGGAAAGTACAAATGCCTTTATCTTTTTCACGAGGGAGACGCGTTCGCGTTGCATTTCACAGAATCCTGGCCCGGGTCAGTTGCTCCGCGCATCGTTTCCGCAACTGATCGCCCGACCCGCCGCCCTCCCTGTCATGGGTCAGTTGTCAGTTGCGCCGCTCACAGAATCAGGGTGGCAAACTCTCAGGCCCTGTCCATACGAGCGCAGTTCGCGGAACTTATTTCCTCGAACTGCTTAGTTCCCGGAACTTATTCCTTTTACAGGGTTGCCACGGTCAGGGAATTCAGGGAAAACCTGGAAAAGTCAGGGGGAAAAAAGTGCTCTGGAAAACCTGGAAAAGTCAGGGAATTTGACCAAAAACGGCCAAAAGTCAGGGAAAAATTGACAATTTTCACGAGTTGCTTAAGATCTTTCTTATTTCGGTTTTGAACGCAATGTAAATTATGCGATGAAGTGGCATATCTCGCAATGCATTCAAGAGTTAAGTATTTCCAAATGTTCTACAATTAATTTCTGACTCCTTAGCTGAAGCGTGTTTCAAATGAGACGCTATATTAGTGCGATGGTAGCTAGCAAGGTGTAAATTTGGCTGTGCGATCATGGCGCGCGTTCTCAAAAGTCAGGGAATTTCTCCATTTTTCGTCAGGGAAAACCTGGAAAAGTCAGGGAAAATCATTTCCAAATTTTTGTGGTAACCCTGTTAACGAGGCACGCTGTCCACACGAGTTCGCCCGAACTGGAGCTGGAACCGGAACTTCAATAAAACTGTACCAGTATTGCAAAATAATAGATTATTACGGCCGCCAAAGTAACAAAAATTAATGTCAATAAGACATGTAAAGGACGTAATAAACAAAAACAAACAAATTCACATCTAAAGAAACTTATGTAGAAGCTCGGAGTACGGGGGAAGTTCCGGGTTTTGGAGGAATAAGTTTTAGTTCAGCTGAAAACTTGTTCCGGGAACAAGTTCCTCGAACTAAGTTCCGCGAACCGCGCTCGTGTGGACAAAGCCTCGTGAAAAATACAATTTTGATATTCCACGTGAAATACTTCATGAAATTTCAGAAAACCGAAAACGCTTCAACGAAAACAGTTCCTATAATGCGCCTGACAGGTCGAAAAATCATCCGCTCCTTGGACTTGAGCTTCTCAAGATAAGGGGTGGTTTCAGCGGGTAGGTGAGTGTTGGTCGTTTTGAGGGCCACGACGAGACGAGTGCTTTGAGGCATCACCGACTAAGATCGGACGAGTTCGAAAAATCATCCCCCCATAGACTGGAGATTATCAGGATTAGGGGTGATTGTAGCTAAACTTTTCCCAAGAAGGCCCATCAGCACGTTCTTTTTGAGCTAAGGCAATTCCCTTGAAGCTGAGGAACCAGGGCCGGATTAAGGAGGTGGCCACATGGGCCGCGGCCCATGGCGGTAAGTCTAAGGGGCGGAAAAATTTGCAATTTTTTAAAGTGTAGGTATAAAAAAAAAGTCGGATTTATAAAAACAAAATTACAAACGAGAAAAGGCGACAAAATCTCTCATTTCCGAAGAGTATAGTAATTTCTAATTTTGTCGTCTCTTAGTGATACAAGAGACAGCACCCTCAATAAGTTGAGTTACGAGGAAAACCAAACACGCAATTTGGCCTAGAACGGCGCGACTTAGAGAGAAATGATAACGAGGACTTGAGATGAAAAGGAGAAGCCCTCGGCGCGGCGATCGGCATGTAACACATATTAGCGCCTACACGACTGCACGAATACTTCACGCATTGCATCAAACACAGTGCGGTCATTGCGGTCAGCGTGAAACGGATAGCGCCTACAAGAATGCATGAATACTTCACGCATTGCGCCAAACACAGTGCGGTCAGCGTGATAAACGCATAGCGCCTACAAGACTGCGTGAATACTTCACGCATTGCGTCCAACACGGTGCGGTCTGCTCGGCGCGGCGGCGGAAGTTAAAATCATTGAACCACATTTATGTTTGTTCTTCCATAATTTTTTCGTTCATTTCTTATGAATGGAAGGCATTGTCCACACAGAGATAGGTTTATGGAACTTAACTTTCGCGCAAAGTTTCGTAAACTTTTGCTAGTAGTGTTGACAGGGCTTTCCCAAAAGATGTGTTCAACACGAGTAAATGCATCTTATGCACCCCTCCCCCGCTGGCACGTTCATTTGATGGTTTTTGTCGAGTTTCAAAACGAATGAGAAGGGGGCGGCAAAATATAGGCGGCCCATGGGCGGCAAGTAGGTAAATCCGGCCCTGTGAGGAACCCCCCTTAGATCCATGGGAAACTTGCTTAAGGGATCTGCGGGACCCTTTCAGCTCCGGAAGCAGGGGATTCGAGGGACTTCTCTAGCTTCATAGGGGTAAGCGGGGAACTCTCCTGGAAAATTTTGTGATATGGAGCCGCATTAGGAGCAATTTCAAGCTGTTCTTATCAACAAATAGACTGCATTACAAATATGTCACACACAAATTCAGCTAAGTCTCCAATTTCATGGGAAGAGGCAAGTACTCCTCCTCCCCCCCCCCCCCCCCCCCCNAGCCCAATACTTGTACTTGCTTATGCCTAGACTCGCCTTGATAGGGTGCCTTTCTGTGCCCTTAGATTCTCTTCACAAGAATCCCTCTGCCCCTCTCCCTTCCGAAAAAATTCCCAGTTTCGCCCATGCCCTTTCCTAATCAAACTTCATTTTTCATCTCTAGGGTTTGTGGGTGAAACATTCCTGAAAATCACTAAAAATAACGTTTTCGGGGCTCCGACCCCCCGCTTCCTTGACTTTGCCACCGGTCATTTCCACAGCTTTGCGTTCTCCTTAAACTTCCTCTCATTTATGTTTGAAAAGATGTTCACCTGCGCAGCACTGGACTGGATCGATCAACGTCTATGATCGACGTCATATCTGAGAATTCCCTACGTACAAGAGTTAACTTCTCAACTAGGAAATTTTCTAAAATACCCGGTACTCCCCCCCCCTCCCTACCCCCTTCCTCTTATCAAAACGAGTGGGGTAGAGTAGTTTGCTCAGCGAATGATGCAATCTCTGTAAATAAATGATAATACGGCTGACCAATCACAAGCAAGGATTCAAGGTCGATAGAATCAGGTTAGACCGGCTAAGAAAAACTTAACACTTTAGATTCTATCTCACGATCAAAATTAAACTAAGCGTTAATTAAACTGAAAAATGTGCCCTGAAAGTTTTATTTTGCAGAGAGGTTTTTATTACTAAGGCTTAGGTGTATTTCAAGCATAATGTTGAGTGTAAGCTTTGTCAAAAGTTTGAACATTTCCTGAAGAAAACCGAGGTAACTATCTGACAAGGTTGGCGCTGCGGGTGTTGTCCACGTCAACTGATGGCGATTTGCTTACGTTGAACCTGCGACTTGACAAGCGTGAATGTGAACGTCCCACTTACAATGGCAGAGAATAGAGAAAGTATTGGCAAGAAATCCCGTCTTGTTGCATCAGATTGCTTTACTCTTTTTCAAGAACCAGTGAAGATTGCATGTGAAATTTTTCATTAGTGTGCTCCGTCTTACAAATACCGTGCAATGTTAGAAGTGTTCTGTGAGTTGGAGTGTGATCACATATTGGTTTTCTAGAATAATCTACCATTCGGAAATCCTTTTTATGTGTTGTCCCTTTTCTTTCATGCAGTTTTGGTGAATCGACGAATCAATGGCTTGCACATTGTCCGAGGGGACCATTTACTTGTGCTCCCCGAGCGAATCCAGTATGATCCTGTCTCCGGCTTCGACATATTCCAATGACGACAGTGTGTCGTCAAGCTCAGAGCCTAAAAAGCGAGGCAGGAAAAGGTGCTTGGACCATTTATCTTTGGAAGAAAAAATCCTACGGAAGTGAGTTTCCACTTTGAATATATTTTCTCTTTTGCGCAGTCCTCTTCATAGCACATTGGCCGAATATTAGCCGCAACATCCAGCTTGACCTCACGTTTGGTCACTTTTGAGCCACCAAGTAATTTCTTACCAATAATGTGCAGATTTCAGACTGGTAAATCCTACATTTTGCCAAAAGTTTCATACCCCAGTAGGAGTAAAGGTCAGGTTAGGACAAAGATTGTTGGCAAGTTGGGGGTCGCCATGGTGCCTTACAGGATTCCTCTCTGCTTCATCATATTTAAGTAGCATGGACTATTTGGAAATTTAATCAGGCCAATCAACCAACAACGACATCTAGTCATCAAACGGAGGCACCCCCTCAGTGGATCTACAATGAATATTTCTTAATCACAGCCTGTATTTTAAAAACTACTGTTTTAAGTTGTATCCTCAAGTTCGGGGGTTAGGGCGAGACAAGCTCCGCCCCTCACGTATTGGTTATACACTCCTTGAAGGGTACTCCCTATAGGCTACAACTTATCTATTGTCTTCGTATCTATTTACGATAATTATTTCACTAGATGCCCCTCGCATAAGGCTGAAGATCTATTCTCCAAAACAGAAATTGAGGATTCGGAGGAATGAAAACAGGATTCGGCCCCAGACTTATACCTCCGCAATAACCACTGTTCTTTTTTTGCCGAAAAGGTAGTAATTTGCCCAGATTGAATTACTCTTTTAATGGGATGTACTGCTTGCTAGTTGGTTTTTGGTGCCTGGCACAAATCACCTCAATGGCAATTTTTATTTTGCCATGATTGAAGTAGTAAATTCCAGAATTGAAGTTCTAAAAGTTGTGTCATGAAAGTGGTTGCCTAGGGAGGCTACATTTAATTATAGTCCTGATAGAAAAGAAGTTACCAAAAGAAACTAAATGGCACTCGCCTATAATTATGGATATTTCTGCCAGAAACGTCTGTTTTATTAAAACCTAGTGAGGACTCTCATGTCAGAGCCAGTGAATAATTGTGATCTTTCGTTTATTCTTGCAGAAAACTGAAGAATAGAGAAGCTGCTCAAGTTTCAAGGGATCGGAAGAAAGCAAGGATGGACCAGTTAGAATATACCGTTGACCTTCTAATTAAAAAGGTAATCTTTGCCTTGCCAAGCTGTTGTAAATGTTTGGATATCTCCAAAACTTCTACCTCTGACCCCCTTTCATTTAATGCCAAATGACAATTTAAACCTCTATGTATGTCTTTTAGGTTTTTTTTTCCCATTTTTTTTCCTACATGATGTTTTCAGAAAAATGGAGTTATTCACATTCATGCAAAGCTTTCAAGCTGATGAGTGTGAATTATTTATTTACATTTTACACGGAAACAATCCATTAATTAAAAGAAAACAAGATAAAATAAGAAGATGACAAACATTTGAAACTGAAAATATTACAAAAATGATAAAAAGAAAAGAAAAAGGAGGTAACTGAAATGAGCAAAAATCAAGGATTTTAAAAGTCCTTAGTGGCGTGTTTAACAAATCTAAATGAGTAAGATTACCTATTATTAATTCTGCTTGATCTCATTTATTATTTTCTCTCGGAAACATGTCTGAACTTTCCTTTTTCTGAGGGCTCTCGTCAACTTTTTTAATCATCAGAAAAGAAATAAAAATTATTTTCCACAGCCACTGATAAGAGTCGATCCTTAAGTTACAATTATGACCTTATTTGCTGGTTTTTGTTTTCAGAATAAAGAGCTTGAAAGTGATGTTAAAAAAACGAAAATTCGAAACAGAGAGCTGTTGAAAGAAATCGAGAAGCTGAAGTCAGAAAAAAGCAAATGCAGCTGCAAACATCAAGCAACAGGGAGTGATAAAAGGCTCGAGATGAGCGAGACATCGCCCCAACTTGTTTGTGACACCACCCAAAGACCCGCAGTGTCTAGCACTCCTCCGCAGAAGGAAGTCGTGGTGTCTCAAGCAGGTCGGCTCCTTTGTCTCCTCTATCTCTACCTGACCTGGATATTGTCAACTCAAAAGAAGAATGGGACTGGCTCCTCGAAAGCACTCCCGCAATTGACTTCACCCTCCTTGAAAACCTTGCAGACGATCTTATTACAATGTCGTCTGAATCGAAACAGGTAATCAATCCTTTTCCCGCATCATTTGCGCCAAATTTTAGTGAATGAGGGAGCCTTATAGTGTTAGAGATGCGTCTCTGGTGATTCTCAATTTGGGGTTTGGGACTGCTCATAAAATATACTATGCTGAAAATCGGATTCTTTCGCAGAAAATGGAAGTCGTGTAATTCTTGCCTGAGAAAAAAGTTGATGAAGAGCAATCTATGTCAAATAAATTACAGGATTTAAGGTTACCACTTTAATCTCAAGATTCCAAATTGATTTGGCAACACTGATTTTATAAGAGACTAACAAGTTTTTGACAGACCAAAATTCAATTTTCCCAGCTGTTATCAAATGTTTCCCAATTATTACGCTGGAGAAAGGTTGTGAAATTTGGATGAGACTCTTCTTACGTTGTATCTGCATTAGATCTTTTCTAAAGAAGATGATCGCACGAATTGGAACCTGATTCGTCAGCATTGCTTTTTCATAAATTACTGGAGCAGCAATAATTTCAGTTTTTGACCAAAGCTGAGATTTCTCAGGACAGACAAATATAATATTTTTTTCCTATTAGTACCACTCTTGAGATTACAAGATTACTTGATTCGGTATAGTTGTAACTAAACTCCCTTTAGAAATGTTTTCCCAACATCTTTTTCCTGAATTTTTAGAGATAGTTGTGTCAGACTCCTCATGTGTTCAAGAAATTTTTAATATTTTTTCTGTAGCTGGAGGAGTGGTTGAGCCATTTTTTTTACTTACTGAAGCAGATTTTGCTGCCTCGTCACTTTAAAGCTCAAGTGAAGATTTCATAGATACCATTTGTACATTTTCTTCCCTAATAGCTCTTTCCCCCTGGAGTCACAAAATTATATGCCCTTTTGATGTCCACAAAATGGCTTTCTTTTTCATAAGAGATAGACAATCAACATCTTCTATCTTATTAACAAGTTCCTATTTATAATTTTTGGTTCTTTTTTTCCCTAGCTTCCTGAAGTCGAAAAAGCTGAAATGGTGGGGTCGACATCAGAACTCGTGGAACCCAGTTGCAATGACGGATGTTCCACAGCCTGTTTGAACTTGGCGAAGCATTCCCGAACTGCAAACCCACCACCTGATGCAACGCATCAAACCTCAACTGTTCCCTCCAATCAAATTTTACATAGCAGTTCACAAAGTTCAGTTCCTCATGTAGACAAAACGAACCTCAAATCCAATGCCTTAAGTAAGTCTTTTAAAATAGGTGCAGATAATGTAATCAAAACGAATCCTATCCAACTCAGGAGGATAGAAAAAGCGCCACCAAAAGTATCCGAGCCTAAAATTGTAGCAAAACCCAGGAAAGTGGTTGCAAGGCTACCGAAGATACTTCCAAAATTATCCCCTACCTCACCAAAACCAGTCATTAGTATCGATAGAAATTGCTCCTTGAGTGAGGTGCAAAATATTGTAGACATTCCAGTTATTATCGTCGAAGATGTTGGTCTAGTTGAAGAGGTCTCGACGTGTACCGAAGAAACTGTGCCACCCAAGGCGGAGCATGATTATTCAGATTGTAGTGTCGAAGCATACTGTGATCAGGTTGTAAATAATTTTGATGCCACCTTTAAAGTTGAACTAGATGATGCTGAAATGGAAATGATGGGTTCAGACATGAAAATGGACGTGGACACCTTAGGAGTAGATATGTTTGGTAAAGATATGTCAGATTCTCATTCGGATCATGGCTACGACTCCCTTGACTCTCCTCTAAGTGATAATAATGAGTACCTCTCTATGGCTCTTTTTTCAGATTTGTTAGAATGAGCGCACTCAAACAGTTCCTCTTTTATCTGTAATTATCATGACTAAAAGTAACCGAGGTGGGCCGTACTCTATTACCTTTACCTCTTGGAGGCTCTATTTATTTTAAAAATTTAAGGCTTTAAGATAAGAGTTTTCTCAGATCCTATATCCATTAATTCATTTTCCTGTCTGTATTTTGAAAAACTTTTTTGAGATTAGATCAGCTGGACCTGGTTGACAATTAATGTTTATATTTTTCAAATTTAATCAGTTTTAGCTTCCCCTGTGTTTTTTCCGGTGTCTAAAGTTTTCCATTTCTGCTGTACTTAGCTTTTTAGCTGTGCAGGTCGAAAGTAGTCGGCTTTTTGGGTGCATCTGAAGAAAGCACTGCAATATCTGATCATTGTTGAGTCCTCAAATTTCTCTTTTGAGGAGGGAGATTAATGATTATAATTGCCTGGTTGGCCAAACCTATGAATTTAATCAATGTAATCGTACTTTTCTACAATTTTCTTGTAAAATCATTAATTTATAATTGATCTTTGTTTTTATGTTAGGTTTTTCTTTCGAGTTGACAAGTCAGCTCATTTTCACCGAAGCCCTGTAAATATTTTGTACAGCCTTGTTTTTTATTTCAAAAGTTTATGATTTGATAGTTCTATTTCTATTTATCAATTTTATACCGTTGAAATTTGTCAGTGGCTGATAAGCCCATTTAAACGAAAGCGTTTTTAACGTTTTACTATGTCAAGGGAGTGTAACCCGAAGATGCAATTCAAAGAGATTGCACTCCTCGTTCTCCCTTTCTCATACTCAACAGATTTGCCAGTTTCAAATCTCAATTCTGCTTGCAGTTACTCATTCAAAGTTTGCACCACTCGAAAACGTGCGCTGCCTTGAAATGTACCCCTTTACTTCCTCTTTTAAATGTGTTTCTCATCTTATCCCCCTCTAAAAAATTCTCTAAAGATGTGTTATGAAAACCCTTTTTTTTGTGTTAATGCATAACTTGATGCAGTCATGCTTCGATTCCAAAGAAAAATAAGTGATCAACAATTTTTATATCATGAATTTTCTTGCTAATTATATCTTAAATAGCTTTCCAAAGAAATCATACGCTGATAAGAACTTTCAAAGGCACAAAAAGGATAGAAATGCATGGTTTGCAAAGTCTTCTTACAAGAAATTCTCCGTGACCAGATTTTTCTAGCTATTTGTCTAATAACTGGAATGCTCTCTATGTTTTAAAATTCGTACTAGAACACTGCATTTAAATGTGACGTACAGTAACATTTTGACTAAATTTAGTTTTATCTTTTCTATTTATTGTTTTAGGGTTAAAATACTGTTTGAGGCAAGGCAGTTCATGTCAAGCTTTAAATTCAACTTATAACTTTCTTGTCTTTTCTCAGTCAAGAATTAGTGTAAAATTTTTTTTTTTTTTGACTTTGTGTTATGTACCGCATAAATGAATGTGATTTGGACGGACTTAACCGGATCAGTTTTCTTACCTTCTACTCTTTTTACAGGGAAATAAACTACATGACACCATTGAAACTATTTTTTGCATAAGTATCTCTTTTATTGTAAAGATAATATGTACTCACAAAATCTCAAGTCTCAGTATTGTTTAAAATTAATCATCAGACCAAATTAGGTAATGTCACATGTAACTAACCACAATGTCCTAATTATTATTATTAATTTTTTAAAGAAAACCAAGCAACACTAAGATTTGACATTATGCGAGTATATTCTTCATAATTTAGGAGAAATGCTTAGAAAGTTTAAAAGTGTTGTATAGTTTAGTTCTTTGTAAAAAAAATAGAATGTGAGAGAATCGTCGACTGAAATGTAGCTAGGCAATATCTGATATTGCTAGCTAAATTAGACATTGCCTAATTTTCTCTAATGATTTATTATTTGACAAAAAACCAAGCAACGCTGAGACTTCAAATCTTGCGAGTACATTCTTCATAATTTAGGAGAGATGCATCGAAAGTTTTTGTAGAAAAATTGAACAGGAGAGAACGTGAAATCCAGTAAGGAGGGTTCTGGTTAAATTCGTCTATTTGGACTTCATTTTACAATCAGGAACTACAATTTCTGACTCATTTTTAAAAGCACTTATCTGCATATGAAAATTTATGGTACATACGTTGTTTCTACAGTGAGCCAAAAATCGGAGTTCCCAATTGCAAAATGTAATCCATTTTATCTTTAGATACTAATTATTTATCTCAAGACATGCAGTTTGTACCTCTAACAACATTTTGTGTGAACTAAGGTCACGCACACATTTTTTGAGCTTTTAGTGTATTTTCCGAAGGAAATACACTATTGCATTTTTTTCTCTTTAGTTCAAGAGGTTTGTATTATCTACATTGTAGGAATTTTTGTGAATACAATGCAAAGTCTGTTCCATTTTATTTGTTTATTTTTTTCTCTTCTTCTATCTTTTGTCCTTGTCTTTAAAAACCTCGAAGAAGTTATTTAATGTTGCGAACTGATAATTTTTTCCATGATCAAACATGGTTAAGCAAATACTTTCAACGTGCTCTGTTAGTCTGATCATTGGCTAGAGTAAGCCATCAGCGTGAAACGGATAGCGCCTACAAGACTGCATGAATACTTCACGCATTGCGTCAAACACGGTGCCGTCTGCGCGGCGCGGCGGCGGAAGTTAAAATCATTGATCCACATTCATGTTTGTTCTTTCATTATTTTTTCGTTCATTTCTTAAGAATGGAAGGCCTTGTCCACACAGAAATAGGTTTACGGAACTTAACTTTCGCGCCAAGTTCCGTGAACTTTTGCTAGTAGTGTTGACAGGGATTTCCCAAAAAATGTGTTCAACACGAGTAAATGCGTATGCACCCCTCCCCCGCTGACACATTCATTTGATGGTTTTTATCGAGTTTCAAAACGAATGAGAAGAGGGCGGCAAAATACAAGCGGCCCATTGGGCGGCAAGTAGGTGAATCCGGCCATGAAGAATAATGTCACTTACTGCTAGCTTACCTGAAACTACGTCATTTTTGTGCACTTACGGCTTTCTCATATCTTGTTTTCATACAATTAAGGTGAATTTTGCTACTTCAGTGATTTCATCTAAAAGAGATTGGACGAATTTAGAAGGAAACTGGATTTCGAAAATTTGACACATACTGCTCTCTCCGCTATCACGGCAGGTTTTTTGTCCTTTGAGTAGATATTACAATAAATGGCAGAGTAAAATCGATTTTTTCCCCCTCAAAAATATAAAGTAGATCTGAGCTATTTTGTATCCACTAGTATATTGACGGTAGAATGAAGTAGAAGGAACGTGTAGGCGTACCTCGGATTGCTACGTTGCAGATTTCCTGGAAAGGAACTGTTGTTTAGTGCGCTTCGTGTTTGCCCGGGTCTCCGCAGCGTTAGTTAGCACAGGTCTTACAATCGTTTTATAAACTCTAACTTTGCTCTCTTTAGCCATGTACTTATTCCTACACTTTGAAAAATTGCAAATTTTTGCCGCCCCTCAGATTTACCGCCATAGGCCACGGCCCATGTGGCCACCCCCTTAATCCGGTCCCGTTATTCTTCCAGAAAGCAAATGAAAACAGTGCTTTCATGTACAATGCCACCTTCTTCTACAAATTTCTAACCATAATGTGTTTGTTGTGTATCCGGAACGCAACTACGAAAGCATGCAGAAGATAGCCTTTACGGCTGTCTTGCCTAACACTAGCCCAAGATCCATAGATCTTGCACTAGCCTAACATGAAAATGAGTAATATCCTCTTTATGTAATTGAAATAAAATCGGCCGATTTTTAATCATCCAAACTATTTTTAATAAAAGAGCCCTTTGGATGATTAGTGGCAATTTGACAGAGAACAGAGGCTCCTTTCAATAACATTTTCCGGTCAGGGGCTTCTGAGCCCGTTTTCTCAAAACTTCATGTTCGCACTTACTGCTCTCTTCGCAATCATGGCAGAGACGTTCAGGTACAGAGGCAAAAAGGAAATATGTTGCCAGGAATCAATGTTGTTGCATCTTTTGTGTTACGCTTCACATTGTAGGCTTTGTCGCATTCGTATGCGTTAACACTCTTGATCAGTTTAGATGTCTCGATCCCTAATCGACGCTCATCAGGAAAAATGGAAATACGCAGGAAAGCATTTTTGAGTTGAAGAGGAGCCTTGTAGGACCCTCCCTCGTAGACGTTGCGGTTTAGGTGTAACATAAATTGCGTGTGGCCGTTTTTGAAGGCGCTTTAAATCAACGAACTCTTCAGATCGAACTTTGAACAGGCTGCGACGAGAGCGATGATCACTGAATGACGCAGTAGCGTTTGATACCAGATTTGGTGGAAGGGAGGGTCATTGGTCAAGCTAAACCAGACGCACGGTTACCATTCACAAATTAAAGCTGCCCAAAACCTGAAAAGTTCGAATTTTCAAGAAGTTGAAGAATGAGAAAAAATGTGAGATTTCATTTTCCTCTGTTTCTCCGCAAGCCCGCAATCCGTCGGACGGTATCTCCTGGCAACGGTACCTATTTGTATCAAATTTGTTGCGTTCAACTTTTCATCCAACTTTTTCCCGCTTTTGTTGCATGATTGAGCTATTATTAGGACATATATTGAATTTTGGCGTGAATCCCACCCAAAAACGTCAAACTTAACCGACAGTGTGACAGGTTTAAATCTATCACCGTTGGAGCTCGCAATAATCGGATTATATCATAATGCAAATTTTCTTCTTTTCGTGATGGAAGGAAGTTTCTTGTAAACTTCTTTTTTTCTTCTTTTTTTAAAAAAAATGTTTACAGTTTTCCGTTGTAATCTCTGATCGAGATTATTTGGACTGCATTTTGCAATCAGGAACTACACATTTTTGCTTATCCACAAAAACCCCTATTTCTATAGGGAAACTCTATAGGGGAACTGCATCTCGTCTTTTGTAGAACAAGTTATTAGGTGCAAAAACAACCATATGTCCCAAAACCCCCCCGCCGATGGTATACATACCATATGGTACACATACATATGGTATGGTATACATATGGTATACATATGTAATTCCGGCGCGACCTTGACTCAAGGAGTCACATAATCTATTAATACTTTTTTATTACCTTGTTACATATTGCATTGTTAATTTCTTTCTTTTTCTGAACCTTTCAATTATTATCACACTTACATATCGACGGTGAAACTACCAAACCACGTATCTCGGTTTGCGACGTTGCAGACTTCCTGTCATAAGTTCTTTATTTTTTAAATGAAAAACTACTCAACGTCCAGTCTTAAAAATTTCTGTGATTTTTCCTCTTGGCGCGGAGAAAATTCTGTGAAAATTTCAAGGAATGATATTGATTTGGTCTACTTCAAAAAATAAAATGCGAGCGTAGATCTTTAAACACCGCAAACGAGATACGTGGTTTGGTAGTTTCACCGTCGATATACTGCATTTGTTGCAGGTCATTCATATTTTCTTGTATTTTCTAATAAAGGTCGTTAAAAAAAAAAAAAAAAAAAAAAAAAATAGGGAAACTAGTAGCACGAATGTAGTTTCTGAAATGAACCAGATATTGTATTTCCCAAATACAAAATGTAGCTAGTCCATTAATCCCATATAGTATTAATCCAGCTTGCCCAAAGGAGCTCTCCTGAAAAACTGATCTCCGTGCACCGAGGGATTTTTTCTTGTGGACAATCTTGATACTTCTTAGGCGAAAGGACCAGTGCCGTGGCGTGCTTTGCGATAAATCGATTGATTTGCCACTTAAACTCATGGAAAAAGATCGATTATCAGGGCGTTCGCAACGAACACCATAATAATCGATTTTTTACCGTAGCTTCAATTGAGGTAAAATCGGTAATCGATCATTCACGCCTCGCCACTGGAAAGGACGTAACTACATTCTAACGTTGCAAAATTGATTCAATTTCTTCAATGAATATGACAGTGAATTTACGTCCAAATTCTGCTATTTTTTGCGTATAATCAGCAGCAAATCGGCGAAATTTCTAGTTGAAAACGCCTAACAATTTCGCATTAGAAAAACCATAGGACGTATTCATACTAAAAGGAAGTATACTGTACGCAAACTCCACTGCACATATTTTTTTAGCATACACACGTTCAATTTGCAGGTTGAAATTTTGCAGAGTTGAATTGTATTTAAATTCTTTTATCATAGAAACGTCAATTAGAGCTTCATTTTCTCTCACGTTTTCACCACTAAAATCGCATGTAAGCGTGGCGCTTTTACTTTGAAAGGCACCTTGTTAGACGCTAAAAATGCTCTAATCTTTAATGCTAAAAATTCCTGTTCTATGGATGTCTAAACTGCATATTCAAAAACTAAATGGACGACACTGTCACGATGCACATAGTTGACATCAACGCACGGCGCACGCATACAACTATTCCTACTTGATGGATGTAAGAAATTGAAGGCACTGGCGACTTTGCGTTGATATCAATGTACGGCGCACGCATACAACTATACCTACTTGATGGATGTCCGTATTGCATGGTAAGAAATTGAAGGCGCTGGCGACTTTGCGTTGATATCAAGGTACGGCGCACGCATATAGCTCAATATTCCTACTCGATTAATGTCCGTATTGTATATCGACGGCGTAAGTCCGCAATCACATATCACTTTTGCGGTGTCTGAAAATTTCTGCCTCTGTGTTATTTTTTTAAAGGAGAACAAATTGACACCATTCCTTGAAGTTTTTGTAGAATTTTCTTCGCACAGAGAAGAAAAATCACGGCAGTTTTAAAGAATTGGCGTTTAGTAGTTCTCTGTTTAATAAAATAAAGTATGACAGGAAGTCTGCGACGTTGCAAAGCGAGTTATGTGATTGCCGACTTAACACCGTCGATATTCACAAATTGAGGGAGCATTGATGACAATCCTGCGGGACTGTACTCTTCATTAAAATATTAAAATAGTGGTTTCTCAAGTTTTAAAATATTCTGAACGCTTGCTCAGTCTTAAAAGTAACGCACAGCCGTGTACACGCACATTATGTATTTTTTTTAAAAAAGTATTTTTATTTTTAATCCTAATTTCTTTTTTTTTCTGTTACAGGTTTAACTTCGTCTTTGGGACCACCGTTTCTGGTGAATTGTTGTGAAATCCAAATTTTCATGTGCTTCATTAGCAATTCAATTTATTCTTTTTTATTTTATTTTATTCTGCAGTCTCTTTAATTGTCTTTTGAATCGAGTGCAACGAAAAGGAACCGAAACGGAGTGTCGTGTGCTGTGGACAAAATACAAAGCCACGGAATTACAAAGACGCTCAGCTCTAGCTGAACGTAGCTGAAAATAAGCGATATTTAAATATCGATGCGAGCATAATATTCATGAACGTCAGTTATTCCAAATGGGCCAAAAGCTAAGATTTTCCTTCAATTTCGAGTGAT